CCAGAATGCAGCAGCACGAGTTGTCTTCAATGAACCTAAACGAGCACATGTCACTCCACTGCTAGTCCGTTTGCACTGGCTGCCAGTTGCTGCTCGCATCAAATTCAAAACTCTGATGTTTGCCTACAAAGTGACTTCTGGCCTAGCACCTTCTTATCTGCACTCACTTCTGCAGATCTATGTGCCCTCCAGAAACTTGCGTTCTGTGAATGAACGTCGCCTCGTGGTTCCATCCCAAAGAGGGAAAAAATCACTTTCGCGAACGCTCACGCTCAATCTGCCCAGTTGGTGGAATGAACTCCCTAACTGCATCAGAACAGCAGAGTCACTCGCTATTTTCAAGAAACGACTAAAAACTCAACTATTTAGTCTCCACTTCACTTCCTAAGCTGCAATTGCCTCTTTGAATATCACACTAATTGTACAAAAAAAAAAAAAAAAAAAAAAAAAAAAAAAAAAAAAAAAAAAAAAAAAAAAACTACTAACACTTCCCTTCTTAGACTTTACAGACCTGAAACTTGCCTTTAGTACTTATTCATTGTTGCTCTTGGTTGTGTAAATTGCTTCCTTGTCCTCATTTGTAAGTCGCTTTGGATAAAAGCGTCTGCTAAATGACTAAATGTAAATGTAATGTCTCATATTATAGGGTAGTGACTTCCAAAGTTTTGGGGCAAGGTGTATGGGCTATAAGCACAGTGTTTTTCAGCCAACCTCCGGTCAAAACTTTATCCCAGCAAACTATTTTCTGTTTAATAGACGTCTAATAGACATCTAAACGTAGACAGCTTGGCTAAAACAAGGCTAAACTTAGGCTGTCAGTGAAAATCTAATAGACATCTAAGAATAGCCCAATACAAATAGATTAGACAGACTTTACATTGTGTAGACATTTGCTTCTGTTTATTTGATGACTACTCTAGTTTTGGCCTATTCTGCAACGTCTATTACATTTTTACTGACAGCCCAAATTTAGCTTTGTTTTAGCCAACACGACTATGTTTAGATGTCTATTAGACATCTTTTAAAAACAAAAAATGGTTGCTGGGCCTGGGATGTAAATATTTTCCATTTCATAAGGTTCCTCTTACAGCATTGATGTTGTAATGTAATTCAAATATAATCAGTTAAAAAGACTTAAACATGCATTTAATTGTTAAAGTGTAAAAAGAGACAACAAAGTGCTTAAACACAGCCGCCGTCATTAGCAAAATACTGTGGTAAAATTAATTTCCATATTTTAAAGACATGATGCGAAGCAATATAATTTAATGCATTGCTTCTTGTTTGGTCTGATACCCACTTTATATCATATCTCAGCCAGACAGTGAAGTTTACTGTTTTCTTAAAGAAATCAGATCTTAAACCCAGCGATTTTGTGTGGAATGACAATTAACCAGAAGGCAGGGGCTTCTGACTGAGAATTAAATTAAGAATTAAATGGCTGACTGAAATTAAATTAAAGTCCATGTGCATATACCCCATTGAGGAAACTGTTAAAAAAATAATAATCAAAAGCACAGAGATCACATTTTAAAAGTTCTTATAAAAAATGTTCTGGGAGATATTCTGAAAGGTCAGTAATTAGGTTTTAATTTACTTCAATCTTGGCTATATACTGGTATGTTCTAAATCCAACATATCCTGTTATGTTTATACATGCCAGTATAAGCAGACCTCTTTTTTCAGATTTCAGTTAAAGGCATTGGTCCCTAGCATACTTTAAAATATTTAATTTATGTTCAACAGAATAAATAAAATCAGGAATGCTTGGAACAACTGGAGAGCAACCAATAGTAAGTATTTGTTATTATTAATACTGAGGGAACTACAGTCAGAATTATTATGCCACTGGCTTGCAAGGTTCAGGATCTGTAAAGCTACGCATCAATGAATTTGCTCTTCCGTGTTTGGACTCTCAGTCATGATTTCAAACCACACTGAACTGAACTAAACTGAAATGAACTTAAACACTAAAAACTAAACTACCCTGATCCAGTTACTATGACCATTTATGTAAAGCTGCTTTGACACAATCTACATCGTAAAAGCGCTATACAAATAAAGCTGAATTGAATTGAATATTAGCCCCTCTTTGTAATTTTTTTTTTCTTTTTGTAATATTTTCTAAATTATGTTTATCAGAGGAAGGACATTTTCACCGTAAGTCTGATAATTTTTTTTTTTTGTTCTGGAGAAAGACTTATTTGTTTTTTTCGGCTAGAAAGAAACATTTTAAGGTCAAAATTAGTAGCCCCTTTAAGTCTACAGAACAAACCATAATTATACAATAAATTGCCTAATTACCCTAACCTGCCTATTTAACCTAATTAACTTAGTTAAGCCTTCAAATGTCACTTTAAGCTGTATAGAAGTGTCTTGAAAAATATTATATACTGTCATCATGGCAAAAAAATTAGTCATTAGAAAAGAAGTTATTTAAAACTATTATGTTTATAAATGTGTTGAAAAAGATCTTATCTCCATTAAAATTGGGGAAAAAATTAACAGGGGGGCTAATAATTCTGACTAACTGTACATCTTTAAGATCCATTTTGTTAATTAATTGACCTTTAGATTAGATGTTTCTCAGAAAAGTGTATAGGAAAAGATTTTCAAATCTTGCATTTTGCATTTCTTTTTTTCTTCTTTGGTTTTACTTTTTTTATGGATGAAAGCCAGGAACACTTTTTAGTACTTACATTGTGAACTTTTATTAATCCAATGCTTGGATCATGTTTTTCCCATTGGAACTGAGTTGACTATTTCTCCAGAAAGAAACCAAGGATGAATTATAGTATAAAACTCCGATTCTGTACTCTATAATCCTGCTGTGGTTTACCACAAACTGGGCTTTTGTCGGTTCAAAGATTTACCCATTAGTGTTTGTCTCACTGGACCTAAACAATGATGCTCTCTGTCTGGAATGAGCCAGTTTTGCTGTACCTTAAGAATGTAGCACTTCTCAAAAGGAAGTAGAGAACAAGACAAAGCAGAACTCCAGAAGATGTTGAAAGAGCCGCCACCACATGACTTATCTATTCTCAGGTGGCAGTGGAAAAGATACTTCCCATTGTCAGTGCCCAAGGCTGGAGACTCAAAGCAGTGCTGAAGGATGGGTGAGAGGAGGGCCAGCTCACTCACTGAATCTTTTGTTTTACCCACAAGCTCAATTGAGCAAAGGAAATCCCTGCTTTGCTCTCTTTCTCCTTTTTCACTGACCTATTATGGTCTGATAGTGTTAAAGCCAGAGACTTGATTCGGCACTTCAGGTTACACAGAAGAATGAACTTGTTCTGCGATACTATACATAAAAATCTTTTCTCGTTCAATCTTGAAAAAGAGTCTTTCACAACAAACAAAATGAAGTCTCAAATGAAATGCATTTACCAATCTCTATTCCTCATTACACATTAATGGACATTGTGTGGTCCAAATGATATCTTAAGGAGATACCTTGCAATTAAAATAAACAATGTTTAGACAAAGCCTCTAGATTAGCTGGAATGACAGCATTAATGACTCTGAGGGGCTAATAAAGCCCACTGAGGGCGGGAGGTCATTGTTTAAAGCTGACTCCCATACTGCTTTAGCCCCTATCTACTAATTCATATTGGGGTGAGAAGAAGTATACAGCTTGATCTTGACCAACTGTTGTGTTTGTCCTGCAACGAAAGATATAAAAAGCATAATAAATAGCTTACATACTGTGCAGCTTGATCAAAATTTATTTCTTTTGCTACAAAATGTTAAATTCTCACAGCAAAATTATTTTTTATTGTTAAAATTCTTTTGCTTTATTACATCAAGTGCTTGCCTGTAATCCATCTGATACTTTGGTTTGTTGACATGGCTGTTTTGTTGTTTGCCTGACAAATTCTTTGTGTCTTTAACTTTGACAAATGCATTTCACTGGTCAGGTTCTCAGCACACTCTTTGAACTGTTGCGTCAAGTAACCTTTTTGTTTCATGGACAAGGCTATTATCAATTATTAACAAATCTCTCTACTCACTGCAGATAAAATAGGATCTTTGGGTGTGTTGATTAAATCTACAGTGTATATTTAACCTCTAAAGTCAAATGATAGGGTCATGCTAATGAAACTTGTGGTGACATTACCAGAATAGGGCAAGATTAGTGTTTGAGGTGCGTGTTGCATACATGAGTCATATTGTGTCAGTTCAAATGGAGTAGTCCTGTTTTTATTTCATTCATTCAATTACTATTCCTGTTTCCCAAGATTCTACCGAGTCACAATATTTTGCTGTTGAGAAAATGAGAAATGAAGTCATTGTTAGAGAGAGCCTGAAGCACCAGGCGAACCCGATCCTCCTGTATTTGCGTTTAAATCACTGTTGTGTTCTCAACTTCCTCTGAGCCTCTTCTCTGTGGCACGCAGTAGGAAATGATCAATCCCGTAAAGAGCAAAACATCAATCTTCTATTAAGCTATTTTGACCAGATGAGTCCTTGCCATTCGGCTATTTACAATGGGCCTAAATTCTCAGTTAATCGTCAACCTTCAGTGAGGGGAGGGCCATGAGTGCAAGCAAGGCTGATGGACAAACTGTGGACTGACCCCACATTCTTTAGCAAGTGTCCCTAGTTTGCCATTGGTGTGCCCTATCAGTAAAATGGCCCCAATAAAACGGGGAGCGGCAGAAGGGTAAGAAAATGATCCTTCGTCTTACACTTTTGCCCCATCTGCAAGTGCAGATCTTTGTGTTCTCCGGTGTCATGTCAAGAGCGAGGCATCTGCACATCGTGCATAGCGACTGCAGCACGCGTGTGGCGCATGGAGGTGGCTTGCCTCTATTGTACCGTGCCTGGCAGTATGGCCCTCTCCACAACAGCATCTGTCACCTTAGGGGGTCAGCAAGGGCCAAGATGAATGAGTCCTGAGAGAATGCCCCTCTCGCCCCACAGAGCAAATGGCCAAGAAGAGGGAGGGGGCAACGGGAACTGGGGGAGGGCCTGCTGTTTGTGTATGTGAGTGTTAGAGGGTTTGTGTATCCAGATCTACCGAGTACAGGACAGAGAGGGTGGCTTCACTGGAGTTCCTGGAATCAGGCATTGCTGCCCCGACTCAGGACTATCATGACCAGGGAGCTGCTAGGTCGCAACAAGGACAAGGAATACCATTACCACACACACAGCCTTGATGTTGCTTTTGGATATTTGAAGGACGTTTACTATGGAAATGGAGTCTCTTTTTTTCAGTGATTTGCCTTAAGGTCTACATTGGGACTCGTCGAGGCACACTCCACACCCTGGATGCTTATGAAAGGTACAGAAGCATCATGTTAGATTCTTTGACACTCACCGGCTCCTGTTAACATGGTGTCAATGGCTATGGCTCTTAACACCCCATTTACTTAAACATATTTGCATTTTTGCATTGACTAAGCTCTTTCCCATCCCCCTTGCTCTATCTCTCTGCCTGTAAGTGAATGTCTTTGAATGTAAAATTAAAACTAAGTGTGAACTGGTCAGTGATAAGTGTGAAGGTCAAAATTTAAGAAGTACTGTGTTCATTTTTTGTTTATGTTGAAAGGCAGGCACTATTGATTTCAGGCAATAGTGTTGCTTTGGGCTTTTAGTCATAATTTTTGAGTTTTGTAAGTGTTTTTTTATTTTGAGGAGGATTTTTATTAAACAAAAGTTGATTTTGTTTATTGAAAATGTATTAAAAGCTAGCTCTGCTCTTTCATTGTTAGTAGTTTAATAAAAGTATGCCGATAAGGTGAAAAACTTTAGATGAGTGAATAGAATGAAAGAGAGAAATTGATTTAGTGCCACAGTTTTTCTGTAACCACTTTTTTTGGCCATTTTTAATAACTTTTTACTTCTATGAATTGTATAAATGTTCAGCAACATTCTACCAGCAAGTTCTGGTTCTGATGCCAAAGATAACTTGCAAGACAAAAAGCCTGCATTCTAAAAGTGGCCAACAATATATTTAAGTACTAATTTTTTCCTGCTATCATTATTAATACAGCAACCTGTTATATGGACAAGTCTACTTTTCACAGTTTGTGTTTTCATCATGTGGCACTCAGATAGTGGGTCATGTTGTGTCTGTTGGAGCACATTGTTGCAAAATTAATCATTTGAGACATAACAAATGTTACCAGCAATGCAAGCAAATGTTTGAAGTTTACATAATTATGTCTATGGCTTGGTTTGTTTTGGCTGCCCAAGGTGTTGTTTCCTTTATTGGTTGTGTTGTTTATACTTTTGGTGCTTTTGATTTCATTAGTTAGGAATAGACAGCCTTGCAGGACACAGAGTCCTTGGTTATAAGTATACATGTTTTTTGAAGCCAATGTGTTGATCATTGCTTGCATGCTTTCAACGTCATATTGACTTATTTCTGTGTTTCGGTGGAGGCATATTCAGATTTAGAAAGCAAACTGAAAGCCTGCATGGAAGCAGAAACAGAAACAGCTTACAGCCTAAAGGCAGGGCTCTCTGCAGGCATGTCCACATTAGCATTTAACACTCCTTAAATGTCATTAGCAGTCAAACTGGACTCTGAAAGCCCTGAAGGCAGCACAGAACTGTTTGGTTGCTGCTGCCTCACTTTTCCTCTGCTTACCATAGTACCTAGATAAGTGATTAGATGAAACTAGGCCCAACAGGCCTTTGGTGAGCTCTTTGTAAAACAGGGCGTGCTACTAGTTGTTAAGATATTCAGTGGTGGTATCAGTCGATTTGACTCATCTTCTGTCACATAAAAGATTTGCCATGTTAATTCTTTTATCTGAAAACCTGATCCACTTCTATGTGCAAGGGAAGGTATTTTAATATGGTAACACACATCGCTTTCGACTGCAATCTCTATTAGATCTCATTTTGTTGGTAATCAATTTACCATGTAATAGACAAACACATCATATTGTAACGATAACGGAGCTAATATGCTTAAAAAGTAATGTATTAGTTCCTGTCCAAAATAATGCTGTTACAGTAACACATTACTAGTAACGCATTATTGCCCAACACTATCAATCACAAAGTGAACATTTTTCCAAAAATTGGACATGTAATACTTTATTAATTAATGGTAACTGTTGTTTTTATCTTGAACCCTACCCTGGTGGTAAAAGTAGAGGTACTTAAACTTAATAGGATTATTGATGCAAAAATGTAAATTCGGTCCATATTTATTTACCCTTCCATTGTTCAAAACCTATTTAAGTGTACTTCAATAGTATTTTGAAGTATATTATTTAATAGGTCCTAGCAACATAGATTCTTTAAAATATCTTCATTTGTGTTCAACAAGGTTAAATTCACTTGAAGGAGAATTAATGATAAAGTAATTAAATTCTTTTGGGTGAACTGTCCTTTTTAAACTAATCAAATTCATCTCAAAACCTACACTGTGAAACCCAACAGTTAACTTTATAAAAATGAAAAATAAGTGTGGTTAAATCCAAATGTACTGAAAGTTATTTCTACTCATTTTAAAAGAGTTTTGAACTCAGTGTTGAAGGTAATGAGTTAATTGATTATTACAACTTAACTCACATTTACAACATAAATTGGAGTAAGGTCACAGTAATCATATAGATTCATTTTTTTTTTAACTCAAATGGTTTGTTGCAATCTGTTTCCTCAAACAATTTGAGTTGCCTTAACCTAACTAGTTTTACATTACTCAGTTGGTTTGAGTTCTCTTCCTTTATTGGGTTTTACTGTGCTCAAATTGCTTCATTTACTCAAATAGATTAAGTTCCCGGTGATCATTTGGATTCGTTTTTGAACCTAAATGGTTTGTTGCAATCGGTTTCCCCAAATGGTTTGAGTTACCTTAACTTTTTGGGTTTTACCGTGTAGTCTCTAAAAACCTGTATTAAAAACAGCCCACACACTTTTCAAAAGTGCTCCAGTCACATAATCCTTGGATACTCAAAACAGAGGTATTAACTGGTTGATTGATAGCTTTGCTACATTTCACTCTTGTTTTAACCAGGCCCAAAGAACAAAACCTGTCCCATCAGTCTTTGTGTAAGCCTGGAAGTAGGAGACGTTGAGTTCCTTTCCCCGATGCGTTCTACAAACATTCCCTTGAGGTCACAGTGTAACTCATCCTTCAGTGTTATCAGTTAACAGCTACATATGTTGAAGATCACTGCAGTCTGTTCGACTTTGCAAACAACTGTCTGATTGGAGATAACGTAGATGAATACTCACAGCATACTATTCGCAATACTCTATTTAGTGCTCTTCAAATCAAACTATGCCTATTGCCAGTTTCTAATAATGCAATAGTCACTTTAGTTTAGGTTACAATTCACGCTATTAACTAATAGCTTATTACCTGCCTATTAGTAAGATATAACTGTTCCTCAATAGTTAAAAAGTATAATCTTATGCTGCATTCCTAATCCTACCCAAAACCTAAGCCCAACTTCTGCTTTAAAATCTATTAATAAACAGCTTATTAGTAGTTTATAATGCTAGTAGTGTTAGTTAATGGTTTGTTATTACCATGAATTGTGACCTAAACTAAGTAGCCGAATTTAAATGCATACTAGATGTGTATTAGTCTTGTTTTTTTAATGTATTAGCTAGCAGAAAGTTTTACCGTAAGCTAATTTATGTACATTTTATACTGTAAATCAAACTGTGATTTGACCATCTGCCCCATGTCTGTAGGTGCAGGAGTACTACAGTTACACTTTGATATACCATGGAGAAGAGGTGATCTTGTTCTTCTGCAGCTAAAGAAATATAATCAAAGGTATAGTGGCTTCCTGCTCCTTGGTTGTAGCAGAAATTTTCTACATTGATGTTTTGCGTGTTTTTAGTACCCCTTTTCGAGGATACACCTTTCAAAATAAAGGTTTTCAAATGCTGTCAATGGAGCAGTGCAAAAGGTGCATGTTTGTTCTTTAAAAAGTCCATATTGATCCAGATATTAGTATATTTAATCTTTCAATTTCCTTCAGCTTAGTCCCTTATTTATCACGGGTTTCCACAGCGGAATGAACCATTAACTATTCCAGCATGTGTTTTACATAGCGGATGACCTTCTGCACTGAAAGAAATGATGTTTGCAAAATTTTTGCAAACCATTTATATGTGTTAAATTCAAACAAACAAAATAAATTTAATAATGTTCAGCTTAATTTTTTTGTTTAAATTCAGCCCAAATAAACCACTTAACTTAAAGAAAATTAGTAAATCCAAGGAATCATATTTGAATAATTTTTTTTCAGTGCAGCCGTAACCCAGTACTGGCAAACATACTAATAAGTGTATTAGTACATAAAAAGTATGAAAAGATACCTCTCTAGTGACAATTTGTTCTTTATTTCAGAGAATGTAGAAGTTGTCAAAACTCTTGGGCTTTGCTATATCTTTGATAGTAACAAACTAATTTATCATTATTTGCTGTATGATAAATACAAACAGAAACCAATACTGAGCTTATTTCTAAATGTTTAAAATGAAGAAAATGTAACTAGAAGTGAAAATTAAAGCGTCAATGCGGAGCAGATGGTCTGACAGATGAGAAGGGTATACCTGACGTGTGTAGTTGTTTGTTACGTGCTAACAGTTGTATTCCATGACAGGTTGTCAGGGGCTATGTGTATTATAAATGGCCACTGTTTCTTTTCAATATAAATACTTGTTTATTTTATTTATCGGTGTGTAATTCAATATTGGGCTACGCAGTGACGCAGTAGGTAGTGCTGTCGCCTCACAGCAAGAAGGTCGCTGGTTGGAGCCTCGGCTGGGTCAGTTGGCGTCTCTGTGTGGAGTTTGCATGTTCTCCCTGCATTTGTGTGGATTTCCTCCGGGTGCTCCGGTTTCCCGCGCAGTCCAAAGACATGCGGTTCAGGTGAATTGGGTAGGCTAAATTGTCCGTAGTGTATAAGTGTGTATGGATGTTTCCCAGAGATGGGTTGCAGCTGGAAGGGCATCCGCTGTGTAAAAACATATGCTGGATAAGTTGGCTGTTCATTCCGCTGTGGCAACATCAGATTAATACAGGGACTAAGCCGAAAAAGAAAATGAATGAATGAATAATTCAATATTACCACACTACCAAATTGTTTTTTGTAGCTGTGCTGTTCTGGAGAATTTTGAGAGCATGTAAAATTCATGTTGGATTATTGTTATGTTTGTTTTATTTATTTTTATTATTGTGGAGTTAGTATTGTGTTGGTACTTCTCTCTGTAACATCTAGCAAAGAGACGACCACCAATAAAACTTGCCTTTGGGCTAATTTGTTTACATTTACATTATTGAGGAATGTTGATTATTGTACACTATCTTTTCGTTGTAAAATAAACAAACAAACAAACAAATAAATAAATAAATCAATAAATAAATAAATAAATGTTTTTGGCAGCCCTATTAGTATGTACACTTTTCAAAATAAAGGTACAAAAGCTGTCAATGGAGCAGTGCAAACGGTGCGTGCTTGTACCTAAAAAGTCCTTATTGCTGTCATGAATTCACATATTACTGCCCTCAATCATTCAATTCCCTTAAGCTTAGTCCCTTATTTATTAGGTGTTGCCATCACAGCGGAATTACCCTAAATAATTATTATTATTAATATATTTGTTTAATTTATTTGTATTAATGTGGAATTTGTAATTTGTTGGTATTTCGGCCTGTAACTTCTGGCAAAGAGATGACTTCTAATGTAAACTACCTTTGGGCTAATTTAGATAAATTTTCATGATTGGGAAATTTAGATTAATGTACAGTGTCTCTTTGTTGTGAAATAAATAAATTAATTAATTAATAATAAAGAAGTAAGTGAAACGATACCCTTGGTTTTGACATCAGGTTGTTGATCATCCTATTAAGTTCATTTTGTGATAATGACCATTTGACCTATACATTATCTCCTACTTGTCTATTGTTCATAGAGCACAATGCAGATTTACCAAAGAATACCAAGGAAGAAAGTCATTTTTATTGCGTTATAGATAGTCAGACCTCCCTTCCAGTCTGATTTGGATTTCCTACTACAGCCAGTACAGACATTTAATCTCTATGCTGCAATTTACACAGTGATCTCATCACCTTGACGTTACTTTGAAATATTTTTCAAACTGGTAGAACCAGTTATCGTTTAGTGAAATATATTCAATTGAATAAAATTCATGTTTATTTATATAGTGCTTTTGCAATGTAGATTGTGTCAAAGCAGCTTAACATAGTTGTAGTAAAGTCTAGATTTCATAGTATACGGTGTATCACTGTCAACATCTCAAAAAATGTGTTTTGGTGATTCGTGACCCTTTAAAATCAAGCCTTGTAAGACTTTTGATGAAGGATAAATGCTGATGTTTCTGTTTTGGGTCTGATTATTTGTGATAGTAAAGGCTCAGATATAATTACAAATGAAATCAAAGAACAAACTAGTGTGATGTTACTTCAGACCAAAATGAATTTTATTTGAAGCACTGAAAAAGTGGCTTTTCTGTGAACAAATTGTATTCTTAATATGACAGATTCAAGGACTGTTCTACGATAGATTAAAACTAGCCTTGTTCAGACTGGAACGAAAGCCTCATCTTGCAGTCCATCAGAAACATTTCATTAATTTTGCTTCCGTCTCATCTTCCTTATAGATGAAAACATTTGAAATGAAACCCTCGTCTACCCTATTTAGACAAGACACAAATCTGAACTGATCACAGAGTGTGTATGTGATGTTTGTAAAGGATATACAGTTGAACTCAGAATTATTAACTCCCCTGATTTATTAGCCCTGGTGTTTATTCCCCCCCAATTTCTGTTTAAGGGAGAGACAGCTTTTTAAACACATTTCTTAACATAATAGTTTTAATAATTCATTTCAAATAACTAATTTATTTAATCTTTGCCATGATTACAGTAATAATAATATTTTACTAGATATTTTTCAAGACACTTCTATACTGCCTAAAGTGACATTTAAAGGCTTAACTAGGTTAATTAGCTTAACTAGACAGGTGTAATTAGGCAAGTTATTGTATTATGATGTTTTTTTCTGTAGACTATCGAAAACAAATAGCTTAAAGGGGCTCATAATTTTGACCTTAAAATGGGTTTAAAAAATTTTAACTGCTTTTATTCTAGTCAAAATAAAACAAACAAGACTTTCTCCAGGATTAAGAATATTATCAGACATATTGTGAAAATTTCCTTGCTGTGTTAAACATAATTTGGGAAATGTATAAAAAAGAAAAAAAATCAAAAGGGGTTTAATAATTCTGACTTCAACTGTATTTAAACTAAGTTAACATTGAAAAATATGATATTTTGTTTCAGATCATGGGAAATTCATACGCGGGGCAGCTGAAATCTGCTCGCTTTGAGGAAGCTCTCCATAACTCAATAGAGGCTTCATTAAGGTCAAGCGGTGGTGACCCACAGCCGGTTTTCACACAGCTATATCTCGAGCCTGATCAGTATTCTGGCCATGTAGAAGGTAAGCAAGGCTATTTGTCCTACAGGAATTGATATTAACTTTTATTATCAGTCATGAATTGCATTTTTTAGCTGATCAACACAAATTTAAAAAGTTTTTTTTACTTGTTCAGACTAATTTAAAATGAGCTAAAACAACACAGTTCTTGAGATTTCATTGGTACAACTTCATGGGTAATCGATTTGTGTTGGGACAACTTGAATGAATTGTGTGGAACCCTGCATTTTTTACAGTGAAAAACTAGCTCAGAAGAGAACTTCATGCTCTATATGGTAATTATGCTGTATATTTTCCGTATTCTGCCCTTCAGATATTAAGCCCAAAATGGACCTAAGCCTGAGATCCGACCCATCCACCCATGTGCTTGTGAAATGCCACTCTTCAAATTCTGTAGAGGATATGGATGACGAGGACGATTCAGACACCAGCAGCCCACCATTGCCTTACCTGCAGGGACCCCCTCCTGATGGCTGCTGCACTGTTGATGGTTGGGAATTTAATCTAGATTTACAGTGACAAGTTGTTTATTATTTACCCGCTCTCAGAGATGGCAAAAGTACACACATCCTTTACTTAAGTAGAAGTACAGATACTCATATTTGAAACGACTCAGTACTAGTCAGTACTTTGCAAGTTGAAGTACTGACTACACTTTTGTACTCAGGTAAAGAAGTACGACCTAAAAAAAAGTACTTAAGTAAAAAGTATTCATTGGTATACCTGTTTTAGTTTCACGGTCATAACTACACTGCACATTATGAACATCTATACAAAATAACTTACATTTCAAATTTTTTCTCAAAATTTTGTTGCCAATGTTTAGCGGCAAAGTAGTCATATTCTAGTAGTAGTATATTCCAAAACAAAATTCTTCTGCCTATATACTGTATTTATAACTCATAATTGTCTTAAATTTAACACTTCTTTTTGTCCAAAACATATTTTAGTTTTTTTTTCTTTTTATTAAATAAAAAAACTGAATGTATTTGAGGATAAATAGTTTTTATGCATTATGCTAAAGCTGCTTCATTTTCTTCAAAGAGCAACACTCTTGCAGCTCATATGATTTCACTGTTTGTTTTTTTGTTTTGTTTGTTTTCAGGGTATTGTGTATATTTTATTTAACATATTTTAAAGTCATTAATGCTGTTAATACACATTTTTGCATCATCTTTCTTCAGATGACAAATTCCTTGTCCTTTGCATTATATTTATATTCATAAATCACCCAGTATAAATGCTTAATTTTCTAAAATATTTATCTAACATTTTGTCTAACAAATTTAAACAAAGACAACAGTGTATACAAAATATACACATTGAAACTATAATACAGAATGAATTATGTTTCAGGAAAATATGAACTCGGAAACTTAGGAAAGAAACCTCATTGCATAGTGTGTTAATAGGTATTTAATTGCTTTAGTACTAACTGTACAAACATTGACAAAAAAAGTACATGATTGTTATGTATTTATTTATTTATTTTGCTGTATTAGATTGAAAGATTAGATGTACAGTACACCATAGTCGGAAGTGGACAAAAGACTTTAATCCCATTTAAATGCCAGATTTAAACAGTAATGCGTCTCTTGTTTGACCTGTGATCTGATCTACCAAAACACATCTTATTACATCGCGGACTCCCCCTGTCTCATCCATGTTAACCGTTCCCATGTTAAGCTTAAATAAATAAGGTTGATAATAAATAACACGATGACAAATAGATTGAGAGAAACAAAAAGGCGTTCAAATTGCGTAGTGACAAGAAATACTATAGATAGCGCCTCAAAATACATACAAAACGAAAGTAACGAGCTCGATTTAAAAATGTAAAAAGTAGAAAGTACAGATATTTTTGTAAAAATGTAAGGAGTAAAAGTAATAAAGTTGTCCAAAAAATAAATAGTGAAGTAAAGTAGTGATACCAGATAAATCTACTTAAGTACAGTAACGAAGTATTCTCTGCTCACTCTAATGATATAAGTTTGTCAAGTGAACATATTTTTTTTACTAGGGCTGTCAATAGCTTACATTATTTTGTTGTGTTCCTGGACATCAAAGCAGTCGTCTTTAGCTTGATTATAGATCTCATCAATCAAAACAATAGGATTCTGGTTTGCTTTATGCAAATGTAGTTTGCGTAAAATTTAGCCAAACACTGAAAAAAATGATTCAAAGATGATTCCTTGGATTTACAATTTTTTTTAAAGTTAAGTGGTTGTAAGTAGTTTATTTGGGCTGAATTTAAACAAACAATTTAAATAGAAAATTACAAAATTTAATTAGTTTAAATTAAACACATATAAGTTGTTTGCAACAATTTTGCAGACATCATTTTTTCAGCGCTTAATTTGAGCTGGATCTTGCCGGATCCTGTTCTGGAAAATGTCAAATATTTTTCATTCTTTTTCTTGTCGGCTTAGTCCCTTTATTAATCCGGGGTTGCCACAGCGGAATGAACCGCCAACCTATCCAGCAAGTTTTTACGCAGCGGATGCCCTTCCAGTTGCAACCCATATCTGGGAAACATCCACACACACATTCACATACACACTCAAACACTACGAACAATTTAGCCTACCCAATTCACCTGTACTGCATATCTTTGGACTGTGGGGGAAACAGGAGCATCGGAGGAAACACACGCGAACGCAGGAAGAACATGCAAACTCCACACAGAAACACCAACTGAGCCGAGGCTCTAACAAGCGACCCAGCGACCTTCTTGCTGTGAGGTGACAGCACTACCTACTGCGCCACTGCTTCGCCCGTCAAATATTTTGTGTTCTGATATTTATTTTAATGGATCTGACATTAACTTGTGCATGGTGAATACCTGTGTGTGTGTGTGTGTGTGTGTGTGTGTGTGTGTGTGTGTGTGTGTGTGTGTGTGTGTGTGTGTGTGTGTGTGTGTGTGTGTGTGTGTGTGTGTGTGTGTGTGAGTGAGTGAGTGTGAATGAGTGCAAGCAAAGGCTGTGTAGATTGTGTGAGCGCACGCACACACATGACGGTTGTCACTATGCGCACGATAAAGCATTTTCAGTCAATCGGCTTTCTTATGTTTACGGTCACTCTTAAATTAATTAGCAAAAATAAGTAATGGCATAGTGGCCAACCTAAATAATATTTGTATTTTCAAAATGGCAAAGAGATAGTCTTGCATATTAATTTTTTTTAAAACCACGAGTATGATAATAATGATAATGTGCCTGATCAAGTCTAATGTGCGTTATCAAGTCTGAAAATGAGCCTGATCAAGAGAAGATGAAACTGCGGGAATGGATCAGGATAGCAGGAGACAGAAGCAAAGCGATATTAATTCAGCCAGAAAACATGACAGAAGAGGTAACTGTGGGCTTTTCTTGAAGATTAGACTAAGTCATTTAATTATTATTTTTCATTTGGCACATAATAGTGAAGTAAACTGATTGTTCATACGATTTATGTTTGTAGCTACATGTTTTTAATATCCATGACTGGCCTATAACGTTTTATAGCACAAAATAATTAAAGACTGTTCCGAAATGTGATGCTATTTTTTTGCAATATCACCGATTAATGACGTCATGTTCTGGGAAAACTGAAATTGTTTGGTAGAAGTCGGTCAAGGTAACGTTTATTTTTTTAGTTTTGTTCCGGAAATTATTTATTTCTAAATTAAGCACTGCATTTTTTTTATTGTACAGTGGTGAAAAGGTTTGACATTCTGTTTAGTCTGTACACTTTAAAAAAATAATTTTTGCTGCTTGTTCAAACTACTTTTTAAAATAAGCTAAAACAACAATATTTTTGAGATTTTGTTGGGACAACATTTTTGTTTTATATTCAATCCACTAAAAAAAAAAAAAAACAATTACATTAACGTAATCGATTTGTCTTGGGACGGCATGAAGGAATTGTGAGGAACTCAGCATTATTAACAGTGTATGTCACAGAGCAATACACAAGCGCACTTTGGAGACAATCACAGAACATAAATGAGCACAGCACACTAAAGTGAATAAATAACTGAAAACTGGTCAGGAATAACTGTTCTCTTTACATCGGGGAAGAACCCTGCCTGGTTTTTCAGTCCAACCTCATAGGACAACTTAACTATTTTACTAATCGAATATAAAATGTCAGTCATACTAAAACAGTGGTTCTCAAAGTGTAGTATACGTACCACTAGTGGTACGCTGGCTTCATTTTAGTGGTACGCAAAGGAATACTGGATAATGTATGAAAAAAACATGTATACACTTTTAACCCCTTGATGCGAAAGATTACACTGATGTTATCAGCACTGGCTGTACCCTGAATTGTCCGATTACATCGGTGTGCTTAGAATGCTTACTGTTGTTCATCACGCATCAGATGCTAATCAATAAACCCGCTTTGGCGAGCCAGAGAAAGAGGTGCGTGGCCGCGACGCTTGTGGAGCAGATATACGCTAGAGAAGCACTTTTGCAGACCAGTGCTGTTATGTTGGCATTTCAGTTACTGCAAACTCGGTAAATAATTTTACATGTAAATAATTATCACAAATATGTTCGATTTCTGTTTGGAGTTGTGTAAAACAATGCGTGTTTAAAATATATAAAGTTATTTGTTTTTGTAAAGCAGTGTGGCTTTCAATTAATTTGTTACTTCAGATTTAGCCTAATTCATCTGGATTTGTTTTAAATGTCGCAGGACACAGAACATAGACTCACGCAACTTTCTTTTTACTTTAAGAACATTAGCCATTTTTAATTAACTTTTAAAAGCACATTTTTTAATGTTGACTTTTTATTAAATTTTTTACCTATAAGCACAGTACAGTGTTAATGATCAGACTATTTAAAATGTTTAACGTGGCTGACAATCATAAATATTTTTAATAATAGGAATTGTTTTGCCTCATCATTATGGGGGTACCTGGAAAGATAATCATTTTCTGAGGTGGTACTTGATGAAAAAAGTTTGAGAACCACTGTGCTAAAATCTAGCAATTGTTTGAATTTTTTTTGCAAAAAGAGAAGCAAAATTGGATTAGGGTGCTTTGTTAAGAAATACAGATTTGATTGTAGTGGTAGGTACCCAGCAGGCACACAACATCATAAGACATTAATATTTGGTTAGATTTAGGTCATGACGTCAGGTGACCAAAATTCAATGTCTGGCCAGCATCTAAGGATGTTATTTTGACGTCAAAAAACGATTTTAAATTACGTTGATATTTACTTGATTTTAAGTTTTGTTGGAAAGTTACCAAAATCCAACATCTGATAGATGTCATAGAGGTAACATCCCCACAACGTCAAGGTGTAACATGATTAGAGATTGATATTTGGTTGATTTTAGGTTAGACATTGGGCCTGATGTTGGGTTCTGACGTCAAGCTAATTTTCATTTTCAAACAAGATCCAACGTCCCCATGACGTTGGGCTACAACATCAATATGACATCCTGTTGATGTCCTGTGCCAGCAGGGTAGAATCACAAGTTTCATAAACATCTTACTTTTAAGATTACCTGATTTATCTGTGTAACATAAATGACCTTTAACTGCTCCACCAAGAATTTGGTATGCATTTGTTAACTCCTTATGTTGCTAGTTAACACACTCAATGCATTTTTTTGCAACATATCCCATAATTTCTAAAATATCAACCTCTACCAAATGGTTGATATGTCAATTTTTGGTAAAAGAACCAGAATTATTACATGTATTGTAATAAATATGAAAATATGAAGTGTAAGACCATTTTAATTAAAAACAATCAAAATAGAACATTTTTGAATACTAAATCACCTTTTTTTTAACTATGCCCATTAAATATTTCAGATTCTCATTTAACATGTTTTTCTTTTTTTTTTTCTTTTTTACAATAAAACCACAATCAAGTGTAGTAGTGCAACATTTTTTTTTGTAAATAAAGAATAAACTTACCCAAATGCAGTACTAATAAATACTTACGACTTACATCTAAACTTCGGACATAAGCAAGCGGCTCATAATCAAATATCCCCCTAACTAACCCACATTTCCCACTAACTAAACTTACCTAACTCTTCTGTGTTTTCCCAAGAGTCAAGCCTCTTTAAGCAGCTAATACCACTGCTGCACAGCTGAACTGTCGGCTCAGAAATGCAACCACGGCCGTGCACTTAACCCAGCAAAACACCAAAAAATAAAAAAAACTATAACCTATCCGGGCATTTCCAAAACATATTATGAGCCGAACTTACCTGTCCGAAGCCAAACGAACGCTCTGCTCTACCAAAACATGCACCTGATTCTCCTTAACAATTACCGGTCCGCATGCCTCTCAATAAGACAAGCCCCCATATGTTACAACCGGCTCAACGTTGCAACATTAGAGAGACAATAATGACCAGGTAAATTGAAAAGACAAATGATTTATTAACAAAACGTATAGTTAACAAAAATATTTAAAGCAATCAAAGTCAGTATAAGTGAAAGTCAGTAGTGAGAAGCATGTGTATGGTAGTGTACTGAGCTCATGATCCAAACGCAAACTAAAATAAATCAAAAGCGTCAAGCAGAGACGTCCGGCTAATCGAGCTCTCCCAGACAGAATGCCGGACTCCTTATTAACACCACACGATGAGTCTCAGGTGGGATGACCAACCCACCCCTCTGCAATCATCATGCAGGCTCTGCAAATCACAAAAACACACATACAAACAGGTCCCACATGGGACCTAACACTAACTGTGTGTAAACCATTATTTAAAACAGTCATTCTTTAAATAACTTTATATATATTATTTAAAACAGTCAAAATATGGTCAACCATTTGGTAGGGCAGGCAGTTAAAGATAATAAATCTTAAATTTCAATGTGCATTGCTCCTAATATATATTTTTAGCTGCACGAAAACAGCAGTTATTTCACCAAAAAATAGAAAATTCTGTTATTAAAACTTCACCCTCATGTCTTTTCAAACACCCGAGATTCTTCGTTCCACTTCAGAATACAAATGAAGATATATTAGATGAAATCTGAGAGCTTCCTGATCCTCCATAAGCATTAACAGTCCTGATTCGTTCAAAATCTAGAAAGGTACCAAAAAACAGATCATGTGACCCCAGTGGATTAATCTTAATACAATTTGTGCTCACAGAAAACAAAAGTAACAACTATAGTCAACACTTTCTTCTCCTCAGTGTCAGTATAAGGCACGTGTTCACAAGTGCTGTGCATTGTTGTATACCCCAAATGCCCATGCTCGACTATCTGTGTTTGAAAAAAGCACAGACTTATTCAGGGAAATATACTAACAACAAAACTGAGCTTGGAACATGAAGGCACACCCTATACTGACACTGAGGAGAAGAAACTGTTTAATAAAGCTGTTATTTCGTTTTATATGTGCACACAAATATTATTGTAGCTTCATAATATTCTGATAAAACCACTAAGTGCATATGGTCTGTTTTGAAGATGTTTTTTGTTCCTTTTCTGAACTTTGAACAAGTTTGTGGTTGATCAGGAAGCTCTCGGATTTCATCTGAGATATCTTAATGTGTGTTCTGAAGATGAATGAAGGTCTCAGAGTGAAGGTCTCACCCACAAAATAAGGGTGAGATGTTGATAGAATTGTAATTGTTTAGTGAATAACCCTTTAGTTTTTCTTTTTCAAAGCTTAATGATTTAGACTTCCTGTGCATTTACAGTAAATGCTTGCTTGTGCTTAGCAAATTGTGAATTAAAATGTAAAATGAAAAAAGTAGTTGATTTAGAGACAATTTGTCAGTGTCAAGGTGAAATACATGAGAACGGTTTTGCAGAACCGCAGACGGTAGCATTAAAACATTGTGCAAACTGTGAATCATCATGCTTTTTCACTGTATAGCTGACTCAAGTCATCTGTGCACAGGTTTCTGTCAAGCAGGAAAAGATCTGCGCCTGGTTTCCATGGCAACAGAGTCTATCGAGGTTCCTGCAGGGTTTGAGCTGGTCGGTGCCAAATCGCCCAGCATCCCAGAGCACATCCTCGTCTGTGCAGTGGACAAGCGCTTCCTGCCAGATGAGAATGGGAAAAATGCACTTTTAGGTTGGTGTTCCAATACATTTTCACAACTTCAAATGATTAGTTCACTCAAAAATTAAAAATCTGTCAATAATTACTACTCCCCTTACCCTCCAAATATCTGAGGCCCTCACTAAACCTCATTTCAAGAGTTCACACTTAGATATGCTTAGCATTATAGCAGGTTTGGCATGCTGTCCCGGGAGAGAACCCTGAGCTCGGAATTATTTGAGCCCAGGGCTCCTGCCCGGTCAATAAGCATATCAGAGGATCCGAGATCAGGAAGGTCTCGATAGTTCCCCCTTTTAGAAAGGGGAGAAAAAAGAGGAGATGGGGTGGAAGGGGGGATTCTTCCGAAACGAAGATAGGGAAAAAGGTTACAAAGTGATCCATTTGTAGTAGGCTAGGATCACTCGGATTGGATTATTACTGATTACAAATGAGTGACCAGCTGTGCTCAATCATATCACGTGCTCCTCTCGAAATTAGTTTATGAATCTTCACTTATTTTTGGAACACAAACTAAGATAATCTAGATGAAATCTAAGAACACTCTTATCCTCCGTAGACAGCAATGGTCATGACTTATTCCTGAAAAGTATGTCTACTGAAAGCATATGAAAGTCTGTATTGTTTGTATACTTTGGGACCATTGTGGTCAATGAAAGACGAGAGAGATCTCAGATTTTATCTAAAATGTCTTAACATCTGTTTAGAAGACAAACAAAATTCTCAGGGGTCTGGAACTATAAGAGGCTGAGTAATTAATAACATAGTTTTCATTTTGGGGTGAAACTAGATGAACTAGATATTGTGATTTGGACCAAATAGTGGTCATGTTCAATGTCTGTATATATAAACAGCATCAAAAAGACTATTCTTTCTATCAGAGTCTTTCACAGCAGGTAGTGATTTGTGTTTGTGTGTTTCTAAAGGGTTTTCAGGGAACTGCGTGGGTTGTGGTGAGAAAGGGTTCCGTTACTTCACCGAGTTCTCTAACCACATTAACCTGAAGTTATCCACTCAGCCGAAGAAGCAGAAGCACTTAAAGTACTACCTGGTGAAGAACTCTCAGGGTGCTCTGTGCAAAGGAGCCCTCATTTGCTGGAAAGGTACTACACACGTGCAATATATGATAAATTAGCATTAATTACTGGTGCCAATAGCATAGTATTTAAGTGCATCGACATGTAGCACTGAAGTAGTCAGTCCAAGATCGTGGTCCTTTGCACATCCTTCTTTCATTCTGCTTTCCTGTCTCCAATATATTGTCCTATAAAAAATAAAGGTTAAAAACCAGGATTAATCATCCAAAGGTCCTTATTTTTGCCTTGTGTTTACATATGTTCTAATTTCTAATTTCTAATTTATTGTTGAAACTATTCTTGTTTTGTCATGTTCTACATCTCTTTCATGGAGCTCTCAACATAACACAAGTACTATTGAATTAATGAACCCATGTTATGAATGTCTAAAACATACAAATTAAAATGACGAGTATGCCAAGAATGCATTACCATTACCTTTTTTGGGTTAGCTTACCCACAACATATGCTTGGTCAGTAGTTTCATAAAGGGACATTTATTTACATTTTAAAAGTGAAACAATATATACAGTCAAACCCGAAATTAATCATACCCCTGGTGAATTCTGACTTAAAGTTATTTTTAGGGTTTTTTTGGACCGGAAATTGCCCAGGCTACTACCTAAATATAATAAGATGGTGTACAAGAGGCATAACTGTGAAAAAAAAAAAACATATTTCTCAGATTTTATTTACATTTCAACAATAATTTGCCAGGTGTATAAATATTTTTGGCTTAACTGTATACAGTTGAAATCAGAATTATTAGCCCCCTTTTAATTTTTTTTCTTTTTTAAATATTCCCCAAATAATGTTTAGCAGAGCAAATACATTTTTACAGTATGTCTGATAATATCTTTCTTCTGGAGAAAGTCTTATTTGTTTTATCTCGGCTAGAATAAAAGCAGATTTGAATTTTTTTAAAACCGTTTTGAGGTCAAAATTAGTTAAGTTATATTTTCGATTGTCTACAGAACAAACCATCATTATACAATAACTTGCCTAATTACCCTAACCTGCCTAGTTAATCTAATTAACCTAGTTAAGCCTTTAAATGTCACTTTAAGCTGTATAGAAGTGTCTTGAAAAATATTTAGCAAAATATTATTTACTGTCATCATGACAAAGATAAAATAAATCAATAATTAGAAATGAGTTATTAAAACGATTATGTTTAGAAATGTGTTAAAAAAATCTTCTTTATGTTTTACATTAGGGATGTCCTGATCAGGTTTATTTGCCTTCAAGTCCGAGTCTGAGTCATTTGATTTTGAGTATTCACTGATGCAGAAACCCAATCGGATACTTCTATAATACATAAAAAAATAATAAAAAAGAGCAAAGAAACAGATGCAGGATGTTCCTTATTTTTTATATAATTCATCTGATTTATTCAACTGTATATATATATATATATATATATATATATATATATATATATATATAGATCCCCCTTTGATTTTTTTTAATATATTTCCTAAATTATGTTTAACAGAGCAAGGAAATTTTCACAGTATGTCTGATAATATTTTTCTTCTGGAGAAAGTCTTATTTGTTTTATTTCAGCTAGAATAAAAGCAGTTTTTAATTTTTTATACCCATTTTAGGGCCAAAATTATTAGCCCCTTTAAGGTAATTGTTTCACAATAGTCTACAAAACAAAGTATAACTATACAGTACCTTGCATAATTACCCTAACCTGCCTAGTTAACCTAATTAACCTAGTTTAGCCTTTAAATGCTACTTTAAGCTGTATAGAAGTGTCTTGAAAAAGATCTAGTAAAATATTATGTACTGCCATCATGGCAAAGATAAAATAAATCAGTTATTAGAAATGAGATATTAAAACTATTATGTTTAGAAATGTGTTGAAAAAAAGCTTATCTCTGGTAAACAGAAATTGGGGAAAAAATTAAACGGTAATTTTTTCCCCAATAAATCTGATCTCATGATTGGAAATTTTGCCTGATAACACGGTTTCAGATTCATTCGGCGTTGGATGTTACCTAATATACCTTATATATATATATATGTATATATATATATATATATATATATATATATATATATTTATATATATTTATATATATTTATTTATATATATATATTCGACTTTTAAGGTGACATCCAATGCCGAATGAATCTGAAACCGTGTTATCAGGCCCAATTTCCGATCATGAGATCAGATTTGGACATCCGTACTTGCCCAGCTCAGACATTATATCAAAATGCAAAAATGTAACAAAATAACACTTTGTTAAACGTTTCAAAATCACGAGATGTTGGAGCGGAGATCAAGGCCCCATAATGCAATTTAAAAGCATGAATATTTTTTTTTTTTAAATTTTTTTCTTTGAATCACAAAATACAGGAAACAGAGAATCTCTATAAATTTTTACAATGAGATTACTCCCTCACTTTCATTCAGCTTAATCTCTGTTTATCAGGTATTGCCACCACGGTAAAAAACTGCCACATTAAGATTATTTATTTAGAAATTATAGAAGAGGAATTAAAAAGTAAATACAGTTGTGTTTGTTGTTACTAAACCTGTTAAATATGATAGAGAATGTTTCACCAAACATCATATTTTTTTTCAACACAGATTGTAAGACACGACCATTCTCAAACAGTGCTTCTTCATCCAAGCCTAGTTCCTCATCCTCACTAAGCAGCAAAGAAAATGGAGACACAAATGGCCACAGTCCATCTCCCTTCCCCCTCTCAGGTGAGTGGACGTGTGGACCATCAAATATTGTATGCCTGGTCGCACGGTTTTGTTCTAAAAGCTTTCTGGTGTTTACTGGAGGACCAGTGTAAGACAACACATGCAGCATCTGTCCAGTGGAGGTTGTCCATCTTCTGCTGGTTTCAGCATGCACAGAGGTCATGTTCTGTTTTGGGGGGAGGGGACATACGGGGGTGGGGGTGAAACCTGGGGTTAAAGAGAGCTGGGGGGGGGGGGCTACTCAGCATTTGGTGACATCTGGCTAGAGGCCACACTGTGTTTACCCAACAGTGTTTGGTGAAAGAAAGCAAGTCATTGTCTCATTCTTCCTCGCAACACCATTCAGAGAAACAGGCAGCTGGCAGCAGAGTGCATCCATTAGTGCTGATAGCAGTCTTTTACAGTGACTAAAATAGGTTTAGGAGAAGGGCTTATTAATGTACACCAAATTTGATAAATGAAGGCTTTTTGTCTAATACATTCCGGATGGGATAACTCACTCAAACATGAAAATGTACTTACTATATACTCACCATCGAGTGGTTCCAAACTTTCATGAGTTTCTTTCTTTTTGAAGAAAGCTAGAAAACCTCTAACCATTAAGTGACTTCCATAGTGTTTGTTTTTCCTACTATGGAAGTCAATGGTTACAGGTTTTTGGCTTTCTACTAAAAGCTTTTGTGTTCAACAGAAGAATAAAACTCATAAAGGTGTGGAACAAGTAAAGGATGAGTAACTGAGGGTAAAATACAATTTTTTTGTCCATCACTTTAACCCCCAGTAAATCGTTGTGTTTGTATAATATGTTGTTTTTCTGACCTACAGACTCGCCTCCTGCCCGCATGCAATCTGGCTCATCCTCAGGGATTTTTGGACCCCAGGAGCTGGGCTTCCTTAAACCATTGAACACACCGACCCACGGGACCAAGACATTACCGATCGGTATCAGATATTTGTCTTCATTTTGAATTCAAAGTAGCATTGATTTCTCATAATACCAGGCTAAAGCCATGAATCATTCTCTACTGAAGTAGATATTTCTTTTGAAAATGCAAGCAGTTCATAAATTATTTTGTAATTTCAGCAATATAAGCTAACAATTCAGCATGCTAAACAAATAACATGTTTTTGCTATACCCTATGTTAATGGATTACACATTTGAACAGGTCACAGTGTACAAACCATACGGGGATATTTGACCCAGAAATGAAAATTACTTCATCATTTATTCTCCCTCATATGGTTTAAACTCGTAGAACTATTATACCAAGAACTATTTATTTGGGCTTACAACTGTAAAACCCAACAGTGAACTTTATCAAATAAAATAAGTTTAGTTAACTCAAAATTTACTTAAAGTTAATTCTACTCATTTGAAAAGAGTTTTGAACTCTTTTGTTGAAGGTTATGAGTTAATTAAATACCTCATCACTTCAACTAAAATGGAGTAAGTTCACAGTATTCACATAAATTATTTTTTTTAACTTAAATGGTTTGTAGCAATCGGTTTCCTAAAACGGTTTAAGTTGCCTTAACTTATTGGGTTTTAAAGTACTCAGGTGGTTTGAGTTCTCTTAATTTATTGGGTTTTATTGTGCTCAAATAGCTTCTTTTACTCAAATAGATTAAGTTCACAGTATTCATTTGGATTAGTTTTTGAACTTAACTGGTTTGTTGCAATAGGTCTCCTCAAATGGTTTGAGTTACCTTAACTTTTTGGGTTTTACAGTGTATGAAACTCTATTGCTTGCTTGTTGGTCAGTAACTTTATAATTATTAATTAAAAAAATGTCTCATTACGCAATTAATATGTAACCCACTTGTCCTACTGCACCCAATCTTTGCTGGGATCGAACCGGCGATTCTTTGCATGGGAGTCAGTTGCTCTAACAAGAAGGCTAAAGGCCATGGTCTCTAGTGTCTGTCGCTAGAGCACCTTTTGAGGTCAGAGAAGTGAGGTTTACCTGCATAGCACATTGCTAGCTAGCCTCCGTTACAAATATCTAGCACTATTTAATAATTATCAAATCGCACAAACTATATTATGGTCTTTTATGTGCAATCAATCAGATTCAAAACAGTCTGAGGGAATCTTTGGAAGCAAAGATTAAACAAGAATCAACCTTAGCTTAATCATCTTCCTCTTTAACTGCTTTAGCTTTAGCTATATATGGCCATGTATGAATGTTTATACATATAATTCATCTAATTGTAACTTTAATGTGCAATAAGTCTGATTCAAAACAGATTGAACTGCATGGGACGATAATCTTTTTCAAGGTATACCGCAATTCAGAAAAGTAAAAATGTTCTGCTATACAGTTCCTAAAATATATGTAAAAAGGTTTTTTTTTTTTGTTAGGTGTGGGGGGTGGGGGGAGGGGGTTAGAGGAAGGAAACTAAAAAACTAAAAAAAAAAGTAATGAAGAGCTCAGACGTCAATAATTTATTTGAATTCTTTAGCCTGACATGTTTGCTGCTACAAAATATCTATTCTCAAAATAAAATATATTGTGTTCAAAGGGGAAAAAAGGTTTTGGTTTTTTACCCAGACATTTAAAAATAATATATTTTAGAGCAGTCACAATCCCGTGAAAATTATTATACGGTTTTTATACCGTCAGAATCTTATACCGGCCCACACCTAAATGTGAGCAGCACATAATAACAGTGTTCAATTTCAGCATCTCAGAGACACTCTGATGCACTTCATCTCTCTCAAATCTTTAATAGTTCTTTGTTTAGGTCACTAAAAACATGCATTTGAAATAACAAAATAAAACTCCATCAAACTAGAAGCTTGTCTGCAGTTTTCTACCAAAATAAAAGCTTTTGGATGCAAAAATTAAATAGGAATAAACCTTAGCTTAATCATCTTTCCCTTAAACTGCTTTAGCTCTAGCTATACATGAAGGTTTATACATATAGTTTCACCTACTATATCAGAAAATAAATGTACCGATTAGTATTTCCAATGGTTAATATATGAGAATATACAGTTAGGTCCATAAATATATGGACATAGACACAATTCTAACATGTTTGGCTCTATGCACCAACACAATGGATTTAAAATGAAACAAACAAGATGAGTTCTAGAGAGGTCTGGCAGAGCACCACCAGGAATGAAAGACAGCGTCTGGTCATGTCTATGCATTCCAGATTTCAGGCTGTAATTGACTGCAAAAGATTTGCAACTAAGTATTACAAAGTGAAAGTTTTATCTGATTATTATTCTGTCCGATTACTTTTGGACCCTTAACAAGTGGGAAGCACATGTGCAAACTGTTGTAATTCCTACAGCGTTCACCTGATTTGGATGTAAATACCCTCAAATTAAAGCTGACAGTCTGCAGTAAAGCACATCTTGTTCATTTTATTTTAAACCTATCGTGTTGGTGCATAGAGTCACAAATATTTATAGACCTAACTGTATATAATAAATATGTAAAAACTGCTATTTTTGCTAATATTTTTTAAAAATATATGTTGCATATATGCATATAAAACAATACAAACCACACAATATACGTTAAAAAAGACAGTTATGCCAATATTTTATCAAAGATGACTGATAACACACATCAGTAAGCCTAGGGTTTATGAACAACATTAAAATTAATTATTTCAAGAATTCTCTAATCAACAGATAAACTTAGAGATCAAATTTTTCATCAAAGCAAAAATTATTGAGCTCTTACCTTACAAAATAGTTCACTTACACTAAACCATCTTCAGTAATGACGTGGCTTAAATATTTAACAGTTTTACTAACATTTAAAACATTTTCTCTGACAAATAAAAATCTAGAAAAATCATATCTCTATGTTCTTTAGTTCCACATGTCATTTAAATTCTCTTTTTTTATTATTATATTGTACATCATATCTCTGCCCATAATCTGCACAAATATTAAACAGCTGCTGAAAACCAGCACTACTTGGGCAAAAGATCATCAGCATACATGTAATGATTTATTGTAGCATCACCAAGCACACAGTCAGCCCTACAATCACTTAATTCCTCAGACAACTCATTCATGCAAACATTAAAAACGGCAGGTGAACATAAACCTCCTTGTCGTACTCCATTACATACTTTAAATGTTTTAGATACAAAATTGCCAAACCTTTATTTGGGTACTTTGATTAGTGTACCAGTAAATTCTTTAAATACTATTAGGTATTCCTCTTAGTTTTAATTTACTAAAAAGCTTTTGATGATTAACCCTATCAAAAGATTTAGGGGCATCAATAAAACCAATTATAACTGTAGAATTTAGCCTTTTATACAGTTCTAATACTTTCTTTATAGCATAAATACATAAATCATTACTGTGATGAGACGTTAAACCAAATTGATAAACAGTGGTCCCCAGAAATGAACCTAATTTGTCTAACATTTTATATATATTTGGAATCCAAATATCAACTTGTTTGTCATGTATGTCATGTGCATATATTGCCATATGTTTCCATATAGATATTGTAGCTATTGTTTTGATTTTAGATTTTTTTTTTAATTACATTAAGCAGCCACAAAGCTGTGTTCGATGTTGTTAACTGCCTTGTTTTTCTACACAAAAGGACAAAATAAATCTCCTCTTTGAAGGTCATTTGTATTGGCTGCTTACCATCACAACCCCTGTGCACACTTATGGAATCGCACACAATAAGTCACTCAGAAACATCAATATAGGTCTAGAAATACTAAATTAAGGGTCTTAATGTCACCGCCACGCTTCAATATTTTTCTGATTGATGTTTAAGACATTTATGTTACTATTTGTGTGTGTGTCAAGAATATTAGATGCAAAAGTGGCCCAGCAGTTCATTATCAACATGCCATCAGTTAAAGGAAATCAATAAACTGTTCCACAGGAACCATTCTTCTTCAGAAATGAGCAAGAATGCATTCCCTGTTGAATTTGTGTGCTTCTAGGTAGGCATTTGCATAGTTTGTCACAAAAAGAGTAGCTATTAGCAATTAATGTGTAAAACATGACACCTTTTGGGGCACATTGGAAATTGTGGAATATTCATTCATTAATTTTCTTGTCGGCTTAGTCCCTTTATTAATCCGGGGTCGCCACAGCGGAATGAACCGCCAACTTATCCAGCAAGTTTTTATGCAGCGGATGCCCTTCCAGCCGCAACCCATCTCTAGGAAAGAAATTGTGGAATAATAAAAAAAAAAATTATAATTTTATCATTTGTGTGCGGAGCCTAATACTACCATTTTGAGACTCCTGAAAATATTTTACCAGCCTGTTTTTTAAATGCATATAGATAATCAGATGAATAAAGATATATCACTCTCTATATCACTACATATATACTGCTGACCGTGAAAATACTTTACAATAAGGTTGAATTAAGCCTCAGTCAGTTCACATGGCTTTTATTGTCGATTACAAAAGTCACTATGTCAGATTATGCGATTTTTGTCGTGATCAAATTTTCACTTGTCGTGGGTAACAAATGTGCCAGACTACGTTCCTTCACGATCAGTCATCCCTTGATGTGTTGCTATACAATAACATAAGTAGTATAACAATACTTCTTATCTTAATTACATTTTTTTAATCTCATTTCGATCTCAATTTAAAAATGATGCTTGCTTACAACTTGGCTACATCATTTAATTTAAGTTCTTTGCTTTACATTGATAGGATCAATCTTGCCTAAACAGTCCCTCGCCTGGACTTGCCATGAGTGAGATGGAAAAAAAAATTAAAGTACACCAGCACCAAGGAAAAATCAGAAGCTCAAGACAATCTTTAAAATACTGACATAACAAAAAAATAGCAAATATATGATAGAGGTTTGTGATACAACAGTAACAGTGAAGCATTAATTAAATTCTCCTTTTCCACGGAGCGAAACAAATCATCCACCTGCACAGTTGAGTAGTGGACAAACACAAACAAAAATATAATTTGTATATTTTTCTTAAAAAATATATCTTTTTGAAACAAATTTTGTTTGATTTAATTTGTATATTAATTCTAATGTACTTTTTGTTGGTCAGTTATCTACTAGATGAACAAGAATAACGAATAACATTTGAGGTTAAGTGCTTCAAAACAAGTCTGCTATATACTTCAGCGCCAAAACACGAATTGCCATTAGATTGTGTTGGTTTGTTGAGTATAATGATAATCTAGCCCAAATAAAACAAAATATTCACAGTTTCAGAGAAGCCTATATTAAACTATTTCACTGTTAATGACAAATTTGGATTAGCAGCACATGCTTTTACAATGTATTCGCAGCACTAAACATGTTACCAGATTACCTCGGAAGAACAAACTCTTTTGGAAGGATGAGAGAACTCAGACTCTTCGCACTGTCAAAGCACAGACCCGCACAGAGACCCACACCTTTTTGCATCCAGCTGAGGTTTCTAAACCTACTAAAATGTCCCGGATTTGGTTTTGCTTTCATTTTCTAAGCTGTCAATAAGTTTATGCACAGAGCCGCAAGAGAGACATTAAATAATTAATTTTGTAATGTAAACGACTCTGAGAGGACGAAAGTACATTCAAAGTGCCTGCAGAATATTTTAGAATTAGAAATAAGCAATTAACTCATTCATCTTGTTTAAATAATCTAAACGTTTTATTCATGCAATTACAAATGTATGAACTTGACTGAGAGATAGAGAGGAGCAGATTTGACATGTCAGTGCCTCATGCCTCCTGATTAGCATAAAAGAGAAACAGTGGATTTTTATTTATTTATTTATTTCAACAGTCTTTTTGTACTTTAACCCATTGAAAAGAGAAAGTTTAAACGGCTTATAATAAAAATAGTGTTAAAAAATCTAATTATGTTTTGTTCGTTGCGTATGGTTAACTGTTTAAGTGCAGTGGGTAAAAGGTGTTTGAATCTGGCTACCACCACAAGTATATTACAAACCTGTAGGAAGCACTGTATGTCCATACATGAGTTATTATTGATGACTGTATAATTACTATCTAACAATTATGCTTTTTGTTTTCAAATTTTAAACCATATTATTGTTATTTATGTGGGGAAAAACCCATTGCTTCACTTTTGAAAACACCATTATCATGAACCGTTCATGTAAAATCTTTAAAATCTTTAAAAATTCATTGTATTTGTATTTTTTTGCTATTGTTTTGATCACATAGATAGCACTTTTTTCAGGAAATCTATTCCAACCCCACACTTTTGAACTGTAGAATGTTTTCTCTGCACTTGTTTTAATTCTTTAAATATTTTTATTGCAGTTCCCACTGCCCTCCGAGTGAATGGTCTAACTAATGGTCTCAGTATGGATGGACGCTCCACTCTACTGAGCCCACCTCGTACAAACCCACTCTCCACCCCTAGTCATGGCTATAGAACCACAGAAACAGGAGACAGTCCAGGTAAGCATTACACTGGCCAATCGCAGCACTACCTGGTGAATGCCATTAATAATCAAATCACCTTGCTTAAGGCTGATTTATACTTCTGCGTCAAGCGCACGCGTATGCTACGGCGCAGCCTACACGTTGAGGCAAAGCCCTACGTCATGGTCGTCGGCGTAGCTGACGTACACCTCTCAAAAAATGCTAAAAAAAAGCGTCGTGAGCCAGATGAAGCGATTGTTTACAAGTGTGGAGTCCCGTGAAGGAGCTAAGGATGGAAAGTTTTGTTTTGTGTTTACCTCATAGTTAAAGTTGTTGGACGTCTGCTAGTTCTTGCCTCAAAATGAGCGAGTTTGAGTCACTTATACATTCAGGAAGCGTTCAGGAAAAGCAAAATACCAGCGAAGAAACTCAACACAGAGAAACATTAACACCTCACTGCCCACTAGCGTTTCAGAAGTGTTAATGCAGACCAACTGTGACAGCGCGCAGAAGTATAAATGCACAGCTACGCGCGTTGCATGCATTGTGGGTTACGCTGGTCACTTGACGCAGAAGTATAAACCAGGCTTTATACATATGCAATGGTCTATTTTAAACATAGGGTCCTTCTGAACACCTAGCCCTATATACATTTCTTGAGATCGCAAATTATGTAGCCAAAAGTACGTATGGCTGCATTTCGTTTTTAAAACAAATGCTATGAGGCAGTATGATACTGTTCCTGTTCAAGCTTACAAGTTGACCGCTTACCTCCATAAGGATAGCTTTCCTTCGGTTACCAATTGGTCTAGTTAGCTAGTAATTTACGTTGGCAGACTTGAGACGCAGAGAGGAGTTGTCCACAACAACTGGGTTTGAGTCCAGTAAAGAATGGTTCCAGAAATCATATAAGACAAAAACAGAAGACAAAAAATAAAATAAAAATAAATAACAGGGTAAGAATGTGGTAAAATCTGAAAACGTGGTAAAAATCAGGCAAGTGCTTTTCTTTTTCTGGATTGCTTTTTTAAAACTGTCGGTTGGATTTAGGGAAGTAGGTGAATGGGAGGGTCAATCGGTGCTTTTGAAAACACTATTGGTTGGGTTTTGGGAAGGAGGAAGGTAGGTCAGGCAATCCGTCTGTTAGTCAGTCAGTCAGTCAGTCAATCGACAGCTGGTGGATTTACACGAGAACAGCAGGCGCGAATGGCACTCGCTGGAGAAATTTGAGATCTCAAAAAGCTGACAAAGCGGCCTCTGGTGGATTTGTGAAAACAAAAACTGCAAAAAAACTTACCTCCTGGAACGTATTTCGTGATCTCCAGAAATGAAAATATTGGTACATTTTCAGAAAGAGTCTGGGTTGTCTATTTAAACTCATCAAATATTTCCACTATCCAATTTGAAATTACATATTGAGTAACAGATTCACCATCCTATGTTCTTTCTCGCAGCATCCACTGCTATGTCGACAGGTCCACCAAAAAAGCGGCATCGTAGTTGGCATCCCACCACTTTAGTGCCCATCCCAGCCACAGCTGTTCCTGTACCAGCCATCCGACCGCTGACCTGCAGCTCTGGTAAATTGAAACTCAATCACACTCAACCTGTTGTTTTTTGATTATCAAATTTGTATTGCCATTGGTCAGTTCATCCAGGGTGTTTATGCATGTCCCTAAGCAGACATGAATTTGTTTATCTCTGCTTTTCCTTTTAACAAGTACCAAGTGGTATCCATGTTTTCTATCCACAGGGATGATTTATTAATTGTTTCTGTATATAGAGGAGTGAAATGTCAGGCTAAAGCAGGTTCTGAACTGTTTCATAGCAGCTTGAAAGGTTCAGCTGAGGAAATGGAGCTTGGAGATTCATGACAATCTTAGTCACCATTGATTGGAGTGCCACATTTACAAAGCTTGAGGGAGAACTGTGAAGAGATCCATCCAAAGTATTATTATCATTCAGCAATGGCTTGACCCCTCACTTTATATGTTCAAGTACATGGATTTAATGTTTTGCTCTTTCCTTTCAGGTCCTTTATTGTCACTGTCCAATCAACAGCCTGCATCGGTGTCAGGGGTCATACAACCACAGCCAATCACAGCTGGAGAAACGGTCATCATTCCTGATAACCTTCTGAACTCTTACGGGGTCCGGCCAGTCCTTCTCATTGGTTAGTTTTTCGTTTTTTACTTACACAAAGATTTAATTTCTAAATAAAAACTTTAGTTTTTTTAGTTGGAATAAAGTAAAAATGGGTGTTTAGCATTGTCGCCTCACAGCAAGAAGGTTGCTTGTTCGAGTCCCGGTTGGGTTAGTTGGCATTTCTGTCTGAAGTTTGCATTTTCTCCACCTGTTCACATGCGTTTTCTTCGGGTGCTCTGGTTTCACCCACAGTCCAAAGACATGTGTGGTATAAGTGAACTGAATAAACCAAATTGGCCGTAGTGTATGTGTATGAATGAGTGTGTATGGATGTTTCCCAATACTGGGTTGCAGCTGGAAGAGCATTCACTGTGTAAAACATATGCTGGAGAAGTTGGTGGTTTTTTCCGCTGTGGTGACCCCTGATGAATGAAGGGACTAAGCCGAAGGAAATTGAATGAATGCATAAAGTAAAAATGTGACAGTTATTTAGGATTGACATATTTGCTTTTTCTACCAACTATGGCACTCCCACTGTCAGTTTGTGTTTTTTTTTTTCACAAATCTCTTTTTAAAATGGATGTTTCTGGCAAGAGTAGGCTTGATCTTTGTATATTCCGCAGTCGGACGGTTCCTGATGTCCCATATGAGCACCTTTTTATAGATTTTCAAGTCTTCCAACGTTATTCCAATCCACTATTTTTTAAAATGTCAGATAGCAACAGAAGCCCTAAAATCAAATCTGATGTGTCAAATTACCTGTCAAACAATCTCTCCGCAAATGCTCAATTAAAATGAAATCAAAAATATTATATTCTTAAAAAGTAGATTTTAGATATGGCATCATAGACAGGATCATTTATTTCAGTTATTTAATTTTAGACTGAGGTTTCATTTGTTACATTACTTAAATGCGCAGTAGATGATTGTCTTCAGAAACAGTTTTTGTTGTGCTGGGCTCTTCATTTTCTGATTTTAATGATTAAAGTAAATGATCTAAATGTATTTATTTGTATTTTTATTTTCTGGTTGAGGCATAAGACAAAAAAATGTTTGTCTAATTAAAATTTGTCATGCTGATAATTCCCATAACTCTGATTAGTAGCCCAAACTCTCTGTCAACAAAGTGTTGCACCTCTGTTCATGCAGATCCACCGTTTGCATGTGAGAGAGTGATAGCAAATTTAAAATCCTGAAACAATATTAGAGTTACTTTGTATTGAAGTATTTGTTTTAGACAGGTCATATTATGTTTTAAAACTGTTTTAGTCACACAAAGCTGATGTAGATTGTGTTGTTTTACAAATAGGTTATATGCACAGAAGTGTTGTTCTGCCAGTGAAATATTCTGGTGAAAGATTGATGTGACTGTATTTAATTTTATAAGTGCCTTTTACAGCATCGAGAATGTAGATTTTTTTTTAGTTTTACAAAAAAAAAAAAAACAAGTAAATAGCGCTATTCCGCCTAGCCTGCTTTACTGAGGTAAAGTTGGTTTTATATTCACATTGGGTCATTTTTGAACAATGGCAACCTGTAACGCGCTCCCTATATTGTTTACCATGCTACTCTGAATATTCACTCTGAAATAGCAAGTATGACTTCTGTAATAAGAATAATTCCTGCACCCCGCTGGCCAAGCATAGTGTAAGCATAGTTGCTAGATATAATAATTGTAGTATTTTAAAGTACTATAAAAATTTCTAACTGGCAAATGGCATAATCCAGTGGGTTTCTGTCATCTTTAATGTGTGCGTTCGTGATATTAGGAGGTGTGGCTTTGGACGGGAGGGAAGGGACTGTGCTTTCAAAGCTATTATGCTAAAGGATAACATTTTTGTCAGACCACCTACTGCACCTTTAACTATATTAGTTAACATTTCTGCACATTAGTAGTTAATACTTCTACAGTATTTTTTAATGTTAATGTTGAGTTCAACAAAATAGTTTTTTAATGGACTTGACCTAAAATGAACTAACAGTGAAAAGTTGTATTATTACTGACTAACTTTAGTAATGACAAATACATATTTGAACATAGTAGTAGACTTTTAGTTACTTAATAGCTAGCCTAATGAGCTATTTATTACTAGTTAGTAAGGTAGTAGTTAGGTTTAGGTATTAGGGATGTAAAATAAGATCATACCTTATTAGTTCACATTAACAATTAATAATTTAATAATAGGCAGATAAAAGTCAATAGTTGATAGTGTGAATTGTTACCTTAACTAAAGAGTTACAAAATAATTTATATATCAATAAGTATTTTCCCAGAGATGGGTTGCAGCTAGAAAGGCATCCGCTGCGTAAAAACATCTGCTGGATAAGTTGGTGGTTCATTCCGCTGTGGCGACCCCAGATTATTAAAGGGACTAAGCCGAAAAGAAAATGAATGAATGAATGAAGAATCAACAAATATCTTATGTATTGCTCATTGCTAGTTCATTTTTGTTACTACATCAACATCTGTAGAGTTTTCTACTTTTTATTTTTTTTTATAAAGCCACTTTTATATTAAAGTAGCATAATCTGAAATAGTATTTTCACAATGAGGCCCATTTTACAAAAATAAGTCACCTTCACCTCAAAGAAGTGTTTAGATGTTTGTGTGAACTCATGGTTGTTTGAATTTCCTCTCCAGGTCAAGGCACTTTACCATATTTCTTTGGCAATGTGGGTGATCTGGTGGTGAGCCCCCTGCTGGTGAGCTGCTACAAGGGCAGAGAGCTCAACGAGAAGACCCTGGCCAGCCTGGGCATGTCAGCAAACCAGTTACTGACCACAGAGACCATGATACTGCTCACACTGCAGTACCTCGCTCGACTGGGTATATGATACTAACACGCCTAATGAATTTGGATTTGTAATACATCAGTTCTAACAGGTTTTAATGGATCAGAACCAATAATTTATCCATTGTGAGATCAACACATTCTTTTCAATTGTCTGTTCAGGTACAGAGCAGATACCGTTACGGGAAGAGTTTGAGCAAATCATGTTGAAGGCTATGCTGTGTGGTCCGACTGGCCCTCCAGTGTCGCCTGCGCAGCTGCCCTGGTTAGCCCGAATGGAGGCCAGTGTGTCAGGGGGCAGTGTTCAGGTGCTGGTCACCCACGGCTCTCTTGGTGAGGGTATCTCTGAGTCTCTGCGCTCACTGAGTGAAACATCACCACAGCAGCAGCAGTGTCTCCCCAACTATGTGCTCATTATCTGCACCTCCAAAAGTGGAGCCAATGAGTTCTGTGTGCTCGTGTTGGGTAAGTTTTGCTTTATTCTCCAGTTCATGGTTTAAAGAAACACTCCCCTATTTTTAGAAAAGTAGGCTCTTTTTACAACACTACTAAAGTCAAACAGTTCAAAGAGTTTTGCAATTTTTGAATCCATTCAGCCGATGTCTGGGTCTGAAAAAGGGCACTTTTAGCGTATTTTAGCATAGATCATTGATTCTGATTAGACCATTAGCATTAGTACAGTGTTTTGATAATTTTCCTATTTAAGGCTTGACACTTCTATGGTTATGTAAATGAAAAGTTATTTTCATTTTTTTTCGAATAGCTATTTTCTAGGTGGATATTGCTAAGAATTATACTCTGGATTTAGTGTAATAATTAAGGAATTTTGCTGCTGTACCTTGGCTGCAGCACATATTCTAACTTGTAGTGCAAGTGTAGGGCTTGGGTACTATTTTCAGGTACAATGTAATATCGTTGCACCTGCTAAAGCCATTGTTTTGGGAGCTGTTGGTTTGGTACTTTCAGTATTATCTTTGCGTGAACTGGCCCGATCTAATCCTGTTTATATGAATTTAGCCTGCTCCCAAGTAGGTTTGAGCTACCAGAACTGTTGCTATGACAACAAGTCTCAGATGAGTTTTGAAGAATAAAATGATCCTGGATCATGTCAAATCGGCAGTATCCAAATCCAGCTAACTGAGTAAGCCATGTCCGAAGAACAGACCTCTGCGATACAGTCAGTCAGCGCAGTCCTCCCTCCAAAGTAAAAAGCGATATTTTGTGTCTGTTGGAGTACTTACAGGTGTTCCATTGGCATTTTTCTGCACATTAATTCTGACCAATCGATAAGCAGTTTAGGAATTATGTTCAGTATCATCTGGCCAAGGAGTGATGTGGATTTTGTCACAAGACTGCATTTTGGTTCTTTTCAAGTGGTTCGGACCAAAGCAATCAGTGTAAAAAGAACCCAAAAATGGCAGAAAAATGCTTTAATGTATCAATTGTTGCCCTTAGTCTGGACCAAATGAACCGGACCACAGATGTGAAAGCCCTTTTAAACAGGAAAATGTTAAAAACTCTTTGGACATTTTTGAGGTTGATGCTAATGGTCTGATTCAATGATCTATGCTAAGCTAAGCTAAGGCTCCCGCCAGATCTAGAGTAAGCTGAATGGATGAAAAATTGGTAAAACTCAACTGTTTAACTCCAGGGAAGCTGTAAAATAAAATAAATGTTATGTTTCTTTAATCTTTAGAAACTTTAAACGATATCAAAAAGCAACTAATGCTGAGTTCACACTGCATGATTTTAGCCATGACTTTCACTGAATCACAAGTTTTACAAAATTATGAAATTGTCCTATTGTTTGAATTGATTTCTGACTGATAAATACATCTGGGATGACCTACAGCCAATGAAAGTGCAAGATACAAGGCAGCAGGCAGTTTGGTAGGAGTTATAAACCACAATATTATCAAGCATAGCTTCATTTCAGAGAAAGACTTCTTATTGTTTCTAATCACTTCTCTCGAAAAGGTGATTGTGGACAAGACAGAGCATATTATTTTCTTGTCGACTTAGTCCCTTTATTAATCCGGGGTTGCCAGAGTGGAATGAACCGCCAACTTATCCAGCAAGGTTTTTTTTACGCAGCGGATGCCCTTCCAGCCGCAACCCATCTCTGGGAAACATCCACACACACATTCACACACACACTACGGACAATTTTAGCCTACCCAATTCACCTGTACCGCATGTCTTTGGACTTGTGGGGGAAACCGAAGCACCCGGAGGAAACCCACGCGAAGGCAGGGAGAACATGCAAACTCCACACAGAAACACCAACTGAGCCGAGGTTCGAACCAGCGACCCAGTGACCTTCTTGCTGTGAGGCGACAGTACTACCTACTGCGCCACTGCCTCGCCCCACAGAGCATATTAGAATCATCATAGACGTGTGGAATCATCACAGAGCATATATAGAATCTTCATATTATAAAGTGTGTAAAATCCTGTTGCCAATCCATTTTTGCAGTGTAAACAGATAGCTGTGCAATGTGAAAACAATGACCATTATTTGGATTTGCCAACTAATTATTTTATGTGGATCTTTTATTTAGGTAAGTATCAGTCTCGAGCCTTGGCAGAGAGCATGCTGTCTACAAACGAGTTTCTGAAGGAGATCAGTTATGAGCTCATCACAGGGAAAGTTAGTGTACTAGCCTCACACTTCCAGAGCACCTCTTTAGGTGAGTATCAGTGCATGATAAATAGTGGATCCAATCTCTGTCGTCATCATCTTTTCATTGTTCTTTATTTAGAAATGAACTGAAAAATGTAAATGTAAGCAGCTGTTTGTGGAGAACACAAAATGTCATGCTCATAGCCAGGCAGCGTTTGGTCATGGCGCCCTCTCTGGTTATTTTTGAAAGTAGTTAAAAGACTATAGTTCTTTTAAAAGGCTATAGTTCACCCAAAACTGAAAATGTACTGAACTTCAATTCCTTTTAATGTTAAAGACACAAAAAAAGATAGTTTAAAGAATGTTCAAACCTGTAAAACCTGCAACCTCATGACTTCCATAGTAGGGAAAACATATAGTAAGAAAGTCAAAGGTTCCAGGATTCAAGCTTTTTTTTTTTATATTTTGAAGAAATCTCAGGTTTGTAAGAAGTGAAGGATGAGTAAATGCTGTCAGAATGTTCAGTTTTGTGTAAATTATGCTTTAAAGCTTAGAATCACTTGTACACTTCTATTATAATATGTTATAAAATAATTTCTACTATGCCTTTTAATTGTACTGTATTTTAAATTGTAATTTCCTACTGTAATTCAAGGCTAAATTTGGTGCATGATTTCTCCAGTTTTAATATGCTTTTATTATCATTCCAAAATGTTTTTGTTGTCTCATGTTTTATAAAAACTGGGGTCCATTTTATTTTTTAAGGATTCTCTTTTGTTAAAATAGAGACTATTAAAAGGAATATCAGTTATTTAACATAGCCATTCCTTTGTAACTATACTGTCACTTTCAGTCAGTTTATCTATGTCAAGGGTGTCAAACTCAATTCCTGGAGGGCTGCAGCCCTACAGAGTTATGTTCCAGCCCTGCTTTAACACACCTATCTGTAGGTATTAAACAAACCTAAAGCACTCAATTAGTTTGATCAGCTGTGTTTAATTACGGTTGTGGTCACACTGCACTTTTTTCCCAATAGACTTCCATTCATATGCATGCAAATGCGTCAGACCAGAAACGCAAGCTTGTGCAACAAGTTTCGCAGTTTGCTGCGGTGCAAAGTTCAAGCTTGCTGAACTCTGACCTGCGAAATCACATAACGTGATTGTGTAAGACCAACCGAAGATCAAAAGATGTCCTTTCTGGACAGAAATTTAATATATGGACCAATCGCTTGCTTTTTAAATGTCTAATCATCTTGTTTAAACCCGCCCCTTTTCACAGCGTCGTAGTACAGAATTTCACATGCTCAAACTTGAGTGTGATCACAGCTTAAACTGTGCAGAGCTGCAGGAGTTTAACACCTGTGATCTATATTAACTGTTTACTGACCCCAAACTTTTGAGTGATAGCAGTGAGTGAGAGTGTCCCTATTATTAATTTCATCTGGCTTGTGGGGCTACAGGTGACAATATGGACAAACAGCTGGTTCGTTATCAACGTAAACGCAAAGACAGGGTGGTTCAACCTTTTCAGGGGCATCTCACCGAGTACATCCACTCCCAGGAAGCTGCGACCATGATACCAGAATCAGGGCCAGGTGAGACTTTACTGTATATCACAATCTGTCATTTTTTCTTGCCTACAATTAAAAGGTTTACTGCCATGATAAATCTTAACGCTAAAATAAACATTTAATATGTGTTACAGATCTGCTGAGCGATGACTTTCAGATACACCCTCCTCAGTTGAGCGTTGCACGAAGCCTTTTGTCACAGGTTTGTGCTATTGCCGACTCAGGGAGCCAGAGCTTAGATCTGGGCCGATTCTGCAAAGTAGACTTTCTGATTCTGGTGCCGCCCTCCCATGTTCTGGTTCACCAAACAGTCCAGCGAATACGACAATCAGGTACATCACAACGGAAAAGAAGACAAATTTGAAGCAATATTGCTGTTTTTCTACTCATGTCAAACTCACTACTGAATACAAATCAATCGTTGAAGGTTCTTGAATTTCTGGAATATGATGGAATTTTAAAGTGTCTATTCCAGACATTAAAAAACAGGGAATTTTTATATATTTTTATATTTAAGTCATGGAATATTAGAGATTTTTGTTTTGTCTCTTAACATTTTAGTTTCTATTTATCAAAATGTAATTTTTATTTGCCTTTTTTATTGTTTTGTTTCACACTTGTTGTCATGGTTAGGCTATTTTTCAATTCAGTTCAGTTCATCTTTATTTCTAGACCACCTCAGCAGGCACACAACATCATTAGACTTTAATATTAGGTTACATTTAGGTCATAAAGTCAGGTGACCAAAATTCAATGTGTAACCAGCATCTAAGGACAACGTTATTTTGACGTCCAATAATGGTGTTAATTACGTTGATATTTGGTTAATTTTATGTTGTGTTGACCAAAATCCAACATCTGATAGATGTCATAGTGGTAACGTCCACACAACATCAAGGTGTAACATTATTATACAATGACATTTGGTTGATTTTAGGTTGAGATTAGGTTGGACGTTGGACATTGACGTCGGCCTGATGTTGGGTTCTGTCGTCAACCCGATTTTCGTTTCCAAACAAAAATGGACTACAACGTAGTCGGCTACAATGTCAATATGACGTCATGTTGACGTCCTGTGCCTGCAAGGATTTTTACAATGTAGACTGTGTCAGAGCAGCCTAACAATGAAGTGGTTCTAGTAAATTGAAATTGCTTGAGTCCAGTTTTCAGAGTTGAAGTTTAGTTCAGTGTAATATTAATGTCATCTATATTTTACAATCATTTTACGCTCATCAACTGGCAAAAATATAATTCATAGGCAGTCATCAGACTGTACCTGCTACCTGAAGTTAACATGCCAGCAAAATATACATTTTAGGAGCTTTGGCTTCAAAGAATGGGTGTTAAAAGCAGACAACGGATAGTAGTTTGCAAAACTACTATCAACTATCAAATTTGAAAGAGGGAGCCGTGCAAACAGTGAGTACAGTATCTATTGTTGTTCTCATAGTGGCTGTTAATGTTCTGCAGATATGATATTTAAGCTAAAACTAATCTAATATTATGCAAAGCACAACAGCAACATGTTTTCTGTTCATTATAGGTAAAATTATTCTTTTTATTTAGTAAAAGTAAGGGAAGAGTCATAAATTTGATATTTGGCTTAGAGTGACAACCCTGATCATTAGAATTGCTATGATTTATTACAATAATATTACACATTGTTGTCCTCATGTCTAGGCGTCCTAATAGATCTCGGTATAGAGGACGTGTCATTAGCCATGCAGAAGTCTGACAAGTATGTGGTGCGTCTGGACACAGAGGTCCACACAAAAATGGAGGCCTTTATGAGGAAGGTCAAGCAGAACCCTTATACACTCTTCGTCCTCATTCATGACAACTCGCACGTGGACTTGACAAGGTGAGAGATGCAGCTATGTGCTTTATTGCAGGATTTGTCAGGAATATCTTGCGTTAACGTCTTGTCTTTTTCTCTTGGTCCACTAGTGCTCTTTCAGGGTCGGTTTGTCATGGGGAGCTGCAGGGATTGGCTGATCGCGTGGTGAACTGTCCAGAGGTTCTGGAAGCAATAAACTTACTGGTGCTGCAGGTCAGCTGCTTCCCGTTCACCCTGCAGAGCCGGCAGTCACGAATCAGTACCCAGAATGAAGTGCACTGGCCCGACACTGAGAACCAGGTGAGTTTCACTGACCACCAGTAGATCTAAAGGAGTATGTGGAGGATAGAAAAGACTTCAAATAGCCAGTGGTGTAAACTAACAAATTACAAATACTCAAATTACTATAATTGAGTAGTTTTTCTCAAGAATTGTAATTTACCAAGTAGTTTTCAAAATGTGTTCTTTTACCTTCCTTTGAGTACATTTTTAGTACAGTATCAGTACTTTTACTCCACTATTTTTTCTTCAACCTGCAGCCACCACTTTATTTTTTTCCTGTCTATAGGAATTTAAAAAAGTCAGTCCTTTGATTCTAGTCCAATCAAATCGGACATAGAAGTAAATAGGTAAATCGCATCATAACGAACTACCTCAAGACATGGGTAATTTATAATTGTAGCAAACTGTTTGGAAGCATTAAAAGTGTCCAAGAAGATGTCTAAAATCTTTCCACGCATTGACCCAGAGACTGTTTGGATGCATGTCACTGATGAGAAGATGACGGGTGTTTACTGTATGATGACCGAAATGGCCTTAAACACCCAGCAGGCACAAACATCAACATGACGTCAGATTGACGTTGTACCCCAGTTTTGTTTGGAAATGAAAATCAGATTGATGTCAGAACTCAATGTCAGGCTGAAGTTATTGTCCGACGACCAACCTAAAATCAATCAAACATCAATATTGATGTCAAATGATGTTACAGCTTGACTTGTGTGAACGTTACCACTATGACATCTATCTATATGCTGGATTTTGGTTGCCACACCTGACAAATAACTATTCAGTATTTAACGTCAATGATGTTGGTTTAAGATGTAGGCTCCATGTTGGATTTTGGTTGCTTTCTAACACAACCTAAAATCAACCAAATGTCAACATCATTTGAAGTCGTTATTGGACGTCAAAATACCGTTGTCCTTAGACGCTGGCTAGACATTGAGTTTTGGTCCCCTGACATCACAACCTAAATCTAACCTGATATTAACGTTTTATGGCATTGTGTGCCTGCTGGGCAATAACTAAATAAACTACAGTATGTTATGTTTACACACATGCACAAATTACATGTAAATGCATCAGCTTTTTACAGCGTAGTACTCACTATGCACTACTCTTGAGTACTCTTGAAATGTCTACTTTTTACAATACTTTGAGGAATATGTACAACTGATCATTTTTAATTTTAGGCAAGTAATGGTACTTTTACTTGAGTATGATTTTTCACTTCTTTTTCCACCACTGCAGATAGGTGATGTGCGTTTATATGCATACACATTGTGACTTTGCTCATGAAAGTGTCATGGGTGTATTTTTATTTATTTATTTATTTAATTAATTTTGAACATTTGTAAGTTTTACAATTGAATAACTTTGTTGAAATAAAACAGTCATATCTATTTTTCCCTGACTTTTACTAAATATGTGTATATTTCCTTCTAACATTGTTATTTATTGAAATGACAAAACACAAAAGAGTTCTGATTATTTCAACCTAGAACTACCATAGCGGCGTTTCAATGTCTGCTACTTTTCCCAGTGACTTTAAATATGCATGTTTCTGTTGCCTAGCAATTTCCTGCTAACAAAAACACAACTTTCTGTTGACAAAAACATAACTTTACTTCAGATTTGTCTTTCAAATCAGCATATTCATTGGCATGAAAAAGCCTTCTCTCCTGCATGTGAAAGTGAAAAGTGCTCTATTCTTGCTTAACTATTCATTTATAGGCTGTATTACCAAAAAAGATCATATGTTTAGCATCATGACTTAATTAAATATGATGACAGACATTCAAAGCATCTTTGAAATATCCTAATAGAAGCTTTGAATGTAAATATGATGTCTTACATGAGAATGTCAGAATGTGTGCTATGGTATTTCTAGTAACCATCATCTGTAAGTGGCCCTCTGACTAAAAATCATAGATAATATGCCAGGAAATGCATCATTTTTATATTTAAAGTGTGCTTATTTTAAAGTATAGACACAAACATTCCTAGCTTTGAAGGGACTGAAAAGTGCTGGGGCACTTGAGCATTTGAAAGTTTGATTGTCAGCATCTGAATGGCGTTTCATTTCAATGACGATCAGCTGAAAAATGCAACACTCCAGTCTTTCTAGTGTTCTTGTGAACGCTCTTGTAAAACGGTGATCATTACAGCAAATCACAGCCATATTTGTTGAGAATGTGAACACAATGGCAAATCAGCAGTGTTCAATAATGTATGTGGGAAATACTGCTATTGTCACAATTTTTACATTTAAGTAGACTTGTGAATGTTGTAGATCCATAAAAAAAAACACTTTGGGGTCTCATAGTTTGACCGAATAACTCAGAAACAGCTTTTCTCATATGATAAAAAAATCCAGACTTGTGAATAATATATAGACATTGACACATCATTGAAGTATTCACAATCATATGCTACATCATCACAAGTGACGCCACCCAGTTATATGTTTAAAAGCCAGAAGAAGAAAAAGTTGGAGGAAAGTTGAAAGCCAGATACTCCCTCCAGTTAAAGCTAATAGGTGCAAACATTGTCTTTATTGATGTTCAATTCAAACTAATCTGCAAAAACCTTAGGAAATGTAGTCCAGGGTTTCATGATGCTATGAAATGACGATGCTACTGTTTGCATGTAACAGCAGGGTGAAGCTTCTCCTAAAGACTTGATCTACTTTGGGCTGAAGGACTACAGCAAGTCTCTGCAGTGGGGAGTGGCGAGTCCAATTCTGCGATGTGATGACGCCTTTGAGCGGATGGTTAAAACCCTGTTGGAGAGGTTAGTCCATTTCACATAGTTGAATGTACTTCTGAAATAAAATCACATGAAGAAAATAGAAAAATATTGTTTTTGTTGCTCTGATCAGTTCTGAGATTTTGTTAAAGACAAAATCAGGAAACGAAATGTGGATTACGTTTGTTTATACTATGGTCCGTAACTGACCCGCATGTGCAGAAGTAAAGATACGGACAGCACAAAATGTTTAATTATGCACAAGTTATACTGTATGAAGTAAGCCCGCTGTCAGATCATGCTTATATGATTATTGCCCTTTTCACAGACAACCGTGGTGTATTTCATGAACTGTAAATGATTGTTCTGCTACTACTAATTTGGGTTTCGGCATTTTAAATCTACAATAAGTCACTTGTGAATGAAAACACTGATGACTACCGCGTTGCACGTTTGTTTGATCACCGGTGTAGTGAACTCAAGGGTTGATGAGCAGCCGCAGACAACTGTGAAGGCGGAGTTGTTTTATCTCCGTTTGCACTTCGTATTTTACTTCGTTATAAACAGCAGACACGTACAGAAGGTGGGTTTGGGTGCTCAAACACCTGCCCTTTGTTCTCTTGGAGAAAGTTCTCCCTCCTTTGCACTTGGATCCCTTATCCGTAACATGCACGAGGCTCTTCAGCTTCGCGATCAACCCGTGCCCCAATCCTTAACAAGCACCAGTTTTGCCTCCAAAATTTTTTCAAAATGAACAACCATCTTTTTTGTGGTAAAACAATTGCCATGTGTGCTATTCTACTATGCTGCTGAGAAGTAGAGGATGTTTGCAGCACAGAATGATGACGCATGTCACTCGAATATTATGTAAAAGTCGCATGAAATTCGACATAACCGTTTACACTGCGGTCGCACTGCAAAACATCAGATCTGTGTCTGATTTAAGACTACATATGAGAGGCTACGTTCACACTGCAGGTAAATGTGGCACGAATCTGATTTTTTCCCCCTCATGTGACATAGGTGATGACAGTGTGAACAGCCCAAACCGCATGGAATCTGATCTTTTCAGGTCAGATCTGTGCCACTTTCATATGTGGTCTTAAATCAGACACAGATATTTTGCAATGCGACCGCAGTGTAAACGGTTATGTCAGATTTCATATGACTTTTACGTAATCTTTGAGGGACATGCGTCATCATTCTGTGCTGCAAACATCCTCTACTCCTCAGCAGCACAGTAGAATGGCACACAGGGCGATTGCAGTAGCACAGAAAGTTGGTTGTTCATGTTGAAAAAGAATTTGAAGGCATAACTGGTGCTTGTTAACTAATCTGGTTAACGATTGAGGCACGGGTTGATCGCGAAGCCGAAAAGCATTGTGGGTGTTGCGAATGGGGGATCTGTGTGCAACTGAGGAAGAATTTTCTCTCCGAGAGAAAAAAAGGGCAGGTGCTTGAGCACCCAAACCCCCCTATGCACATGTCTGCTGTTTATAACGAAGTAAAATTAAATAACTCCACAAACGGAGAAGAAACCCACCCCGCCTTCACAGCTCAGCCTGCAGCTGCTTATTAACCCTTGATGAGTTCACTACACCGCCGGTGGTCAGAGCGCCACGCACCGCGGTTGTCATAAATCACAAATGATCAGTGTTTTGTTTTTTTTTTAATCACAGGAGACTTATTTTAGATCTCAAATGCCGAAATACACAGTAGTAGTACCAGAACAATCATTTAAAGTTCATGAAATACACCCCGGTTGTCTGTGAAAAGGGCAATAATCATATAAGCGGGATCTGACAACGTGCTTACTCATGCAGCACACACGTGTGTGGATAATTAGACATTTTGTGCTCTCCGTAATGCACTTTTGCGCATGCGGGTCAGTTTAGGACCATGATCTGTTCACACTGCAAATCTGATATTGGCCACATTTATAAGATCAGTGTGAACAGCCATGCAAAACAATCAAATCTGAGAAAAAAATCAGATTTGAGCACTAAGCCTTGCAGTGTAATTGTAGCCAGAGTTGCACAGATCTGACCTGAAAAGTTCAGATTCCATGCGGTTTGGGCTGTTCACACTATCATTACCTGAGTCACATGTGGGCAAAAAAATCAGACTCGGGCCACATTTGGCTGCAGTGTGAACGTTGCCTTAATGATCTGTTTACACAGCAAATCTGATATTGGCCACATTTCTAAGAGCAGTGTGAACAGCCATGCAAAAAAAATCAGATCTGAGTAAAAAAATCAGGTTTGAGCACTAATCCTGGCAGTGTGAACGTAGCCTAATGCACTTTATCTGTTTGCATCTCTGGATTTAAATTACACTACAAAAAAAATGATGTCCAGAGGAACTTATGAATGATATTTAGCTTTAACCTCCTAGGGCTTAGTGGCCACATACAGAACGTGGTCAGCACATTTTAGCTCTTAAGTGGCTATTTAAAATACTTTGAATGTTTTATATTTTGTTACAGACATACAGATTCATTCTGCAACTGTTTTGCAGCATGTGAAATGTCCCAAACACTATTTTTAACTGCCCTAAATGGGGGAAAATATTTTTGTTTTTACTCTGATAGACAAAACATGTTCAAATATGTTTAAATATACATTACAAATCAGTCAGGAATTTAGTGTTTTATGTAAATTTGGACCACAAGTCCACATATATATCATATTTCTCTAAAATAACATCATATCAAAAGATGATACTTAGATTTTATTGTAATTAGGTTCTAATAAGCCTAAATAGCAAAGAAAAATAAAAAAAATGCATGTAAACAAAACACCTTAGGCCTTTAGAGGTTAATAATCCTACAAGTTTAAAGGAATTGTTCACCCAAAATTAAAAATTAATTTACTCACTCTTCAGTTGTTCCAAACCAGTTTAAGGTTTTTGCTTTGTTGAGCACAAAAGAAATTAATTGAAAAATGTTGGAAACCAGTAACCCTTGTGTTTTATAGTATTTGTTTTTCCTGCTATAGAAGACAATAGTTATCAATGAATATACTTCTTTAAAATATGTTCAGAACACACAAGCAACTAACAAGCTTTTTAAGTGAACTCTCACTTTCAATAGACTATTTCTAATTTTTATAATTTTGGCAAAAGAAAAAAAGCATGTATTCTCTGGAAAACCTGGAGACTCTTTTACACTATTAAATAATTACAATATGCTAAAATCTACATCACCAACAGTAAGTTTATATAAAAATAGACTAAATATTTGCATTACTTTCGGCTCTATCTTTTTAAAGACGGTTTTCTTAAAATAATTTGTTTATTTACATTCAAAAAATGTATGTACGATTTTAGATGACAAGCTCTTCAAAACTTTTCATACCACATTTGCAACGTTTTCCTTATTTTATCTCAATAAAATAATACTCAATGAAATACTAATCAAAATATTTATTCTGACAAACGAAAAAAATACATTCACTCAAATGTAAAATGATGTTTCATTAGACCATGAGTAAATTTGTTTCATTATGTTCAACTTAAATATTTATTTGTTTTGGAAAAGATCTTTTATTTTTTACTACAAAATCGAAGTTGTACTGTTTGACCAAATAAATACATGTAACATTAGGCAATGCTATTGCAAGTTATTTTATTTTCAAGATGTGAGGTAAACTATCAGCTTGTGCTTTTAGTATGGCTATAAATGTCACGCTAGATCAGGGGTGCTCAACCATGTTCCTGGAGATCTACCTTTCTGCATAGTTCTGCTCCTACCCTGATTAAACACACCTGAACCAATTAACTAGGCACTTGAATGATTACAGGCAGGTGTGTTTGATGTGGGTTGCAACTGAAATCTGCAGGAAGGTAGATCTCCAGGAACAGGGTTGACCACCCCTGCGCTAGATGGTAATCAAACTTATATTGGAAATATAAAAAATTAATAGCAGTACATTTTTTAGTGGTGGGCAAAGCGAGGCTTCATGAAACACTGAAACAGTTGAAGCAAATTTGTCCAAGCTTCGATACGTTTTGAAACCCCACTCTACAGTAACACTTAGTGGTCATTTTTTGATGTATTGCACTGAAATCGCTTCAGCATAGAACAGTTGAGCAAATTGAGGTACTAAACTCCACTTTGTAGAGTTGAACGTTCAAGTGATTTAGTGGAGTGGTCAGGGTTCCTGACAACCAGCCAGGGATAGTGAGTTTAAATTCAGGCTGATACAGCTATTTTGAAATGCTTAATATCAATTTGAACTGCTTTGTTCTTGTATTGTTTTGTTTCAACATTGGTCATTCGAATAAATGCTTTGTGAATAAAAATGTCTTGGTTTGGTTATAAAACAAGATTGTTGCTAGATCAGACAAGGTTGTTGTTGAAAGTTAACAAGAGTTATTTATATTATTAATTAAATTTCCCATTTATTGTATTTTATTAACGTCTACCCAAACCCTAAACCCAACCATCACAGTACTGTAAAAATATTAGTTATTGTTTTACAGTGTTACAAAAATGATGCTAAATTGATGGCCTATCCGCAGCTGTATCCTATCTGGACTACAGCAGAAAACAATAACATTATTAAAATACAAAAAATCTTGATTTCTGAGAATTCGAACCCAAAAGCCATTTGAAGCACATTAACAACGTGTACTCTCATGGTCCACTAGGCTATATGAGACAAACACATTTTCCGACCCTGTCAGTTAAATCCAGATTCGCAAGGGCTTGAAACGCTTCTGAACTGATTGATGCTTTGAGTCGCTTTAGACACGTGACCAGGCGTTTTGAAACACTTTAGTCATGTGACCTGGGTGTTTCAGATCATGCTTTGGTGCAGTGTTTCAAAACATTTGCACTAAGGAATCTCGACACTGTGTCGAAACATCAGTTTCATGTTAGCCATCCCTAGATTTTTTTCATAGTCATATAACATGAAAACTATCAATTTTGTGAAAAATCTAATGTCTCTGTCTGTTAGTATACTGTATCTCAGTCATGAAACCTTCCTCGCTGATTTCAGGCACCCACATTTGCACAGTATGGTGATCCGCAGCTACCTGTTGATCCAGCAGTACACAGAGGCTCTGATGGCCCTCACAGCGGCCCCTTCTTTGCGGGATCACGTGACCCCTCAGACACTTGCCATGGTGGAGGATCTGCTGAGTGTGCCAGGCCGCAGCAAGCATGGGTGCGGACACATGCTGCTGGTGCGTGTGCCTTCTCTGCAGCTGGCACGACTGGCACAGGAGCGGCTGGAGGAGGCTCGGGACAAGCTGGGGCTGCAGTACCGCTTTGCCGTGCTGCTAGGAAGCCCTGCTGCGGAGATCAGCCTGCCGGTGCACTTCTGTGCCCGTCTGCGGGTAAGAATCCGATCCTTATGCGTCTGGCTCTTATCACGAGAATAAACATGGAATAAGAAAACTGTGTATTTTAGGCTTGGAGGGGCTGTAAAAATGAGGAGTGGGTCCCACATACATATGAAGATCTGGAAGGACTTCCATGCATTGTCATCCTCACTGGAAAAGATCCTCTTGGAGAAACCTTCCCGAGGTACTTCATGCCAACTGTGTGAAATTATTCTTTCTGTGTATAATATGTACTATATATACAGTTAAAGTCAGAATTTTTAAACCCCCTTTCAATTTTTTTTTTATTTATTTATTTATTTTAACAGATTAATTTATTTATTAACAGAGCAAGGAAATTATGACAGTATGTCTAAAAATATTCTTTCTTCTAGAGAAAGTCAAACGTGTTTTATTTGAGCTAGAATAAAAACAGTTTTTAATTTTTTAAACCCCATATTAAGGTCAAAAATTTGTAGCCCCTTTAAACTTTATTTTTTCTGAAAGTCTACAGAACGAACCATCGTTATACGATAACTTGCCTAATTACCCTAACCTGCCTAATTAAGCTAATTAGCATAATTAAGCCTTTAATGTCATAATTAAGCCTAAATGTCACTTTAAGCTGTATAGAAGTGTCTTTAAAATATCTAGTAAAAAATATTTACTGTCATCATGGCATAGAGAAAATAAATCAGTTATTAGAAATGAGTTATTAAAAGTCTTATTTTTAGAAATTGGGAAAAAATGAACAGGGCAGCTAATAATTTAGGGGGGCTAATAATTCTGACTTCAACTATAAGTACTTGTAGAAAACCTAAGTAAGTAGACAGGGTGTGTGTGTATATATATATATATATATATATATAAATGTCTATGAAAAATAAAAATGTAGTTTTTGTAAATAGGAAATACTAAAAATAATTAGAATATTATAATATAATACAAAATATTAGAATGACTTCTGAAGGATCATACGAAAAATCAAAACAATATATTCAATTTTGGAATGTGTTACAAAAAAAAGATAATTTTAAATTGGATGAATATTTCACAATATTATTACTATAATTTTAATAAAATAATTGCAGTCTTGCCGAGAAAAAGAGGGAAAAATTAATATTTGAACTGCACTATATAACATAAATATTTTTTATTTATTCATTAAATAAATGTAAATAGGTACAATTTAACAAGGTCAATTCAAGCTAATAGAAATTAGCTACAAATATGAATACATTTATTGTATTTTTGACAATTTTTGTGTAGCCTTTTTTTAAACCTTTTTAGATTCATAATAAAAAATAAAACATTTAGTTTTAAAAGTTATGTATGATAGATTTAAAAGTCAAATAGATATTTTAAATATAAGACATATATTTTTCCCAAAACTTCCCAAACTTTTCAGCCCACGACCCTCAAAATAACAATGCCAGTGACTCGTGACCTCCAATATCCTCTGAGGTGGTTACCAATAGGTCGAACTCTATTCTTCGGTTTTTTTTTTTTTTAATGTAAGTGAGTGCTGTAAATGTGCCAGAAAGTTTAAGCTGCCACCATAAAATCAATCTTCTGCATCTGACGCTATTGCTCTGTCTTTAATATAATATAATCACCCCAAGGGTCATAATCCAATACGAAAAAAAAGATTGCTACTACTTAAACTACTATTTTAAGCTTCAAAATAGATAAATATGGCAATTATAATGGTTTAATAAAATTAATTTGATTTTTGGAAATCAACAAACAACCCTTTGTCCAACTCCTATTTTGGGAACCACTGATCTAGATCAATAAAAATGCTGCACAGCACATGTAAGTATTTTGATTGACTTTACTTGCCTCTTAAAAAAGAGCACCACCTTTTGGCTACTGCAGTTGCTACAAACAAAATAAACAGTTATTTAGATTTAGATTAAAATTTTATAGAAAAACTTTCAGGATGTTTTAGAACTTCTCATCGAGTAACATTTACTGTCCTGTAGATTTTTTCCAAGATATTTTTGATACACTGAAGATTAACATCCTGTAATGTCTAGTTCAGACTGCATGATTTTCAAAGTAGTCGTGTCACGGATGTTTTCACACTGCATGACTATTTGGGGTAGCTTTCCATCCGTGCTGTGTTTACACTGCAAGATGTATCGGCGACAGGGGGTTTTCACACTGCATGACTGCATTTTACTATATATATATATATATATATATATATATATATATATATATATATATATATATATATATATATATATATATATATATATATATATATAGTAAAATATTGTAATATATATTTTGTTACTGCATAATGAGAAAGAAGCCTTTAGGTGGGGTAGAAAATGTATTTATGTTGCCCACCTGGGATTGAAGGGAGCAATTTCTTTTTTTATTTTTCGACCCAGTTGTGGTATTGCTCAGATAACATGTCAAACAGACTTGGGTACTCCTGCCAAGTTTCCACTTGTTTTGCCTCAATTTCTTTGGTCCAAGTAAACTGAAAATGAGCACTGTAAACTTCTCCTCCAACCTCCTGCTGACCTGCAGATACCCACAGTAGTGGATGCTGCTCTCTCATTTGCCATAGGTGATTGTATTTCACACAGCATCATTTGAATCGCAGACACCTCCAGATATTTAGCTAATTTCTGAAATCCTGTCGCCAAGTCAAAATCAGGGCTAAAATCATGCAGCCTGAACTCGGCATAAAGTTCTACTGGATATATCAAAATCAAAAAACGTTTTGACTTCAAAATAATTCCATGGAGACTACTTAACATGTTTATTCCTGTATTTGTATAGGTCTCTAAAGTACTGTGACTTGCGGCTGATTGACTCCAGCTACCTGACACGCACAGCGCTGGAACAGGAAGTGGGTTTGGCCTGTTCATATGTGACACGTAGAGTAATCCCTAAGACCAAAACTGCCACAAGCAGAGAAGAGAGACCGAGAGAAGGTGAAAGGAGCTCTGGAGAAACAGCAGAACACGATGATCTCCCTATGGAGCTGGAAAGACCACCCAGCAATGCCAGCGCTGCTACTAGGACCTCCGGTGAGTGACACTGGACTCAAGGGTCCTCCTGTTCAGACAGTACAATTTCAGGAGTGACAACTGCATCTGAATATAGGAGAGAATTATTTAAAAAAGGTCACACTTTATTTTGATTGTCAGTTTGTTGAATTTAAGTTACATTGCAACTAATTCTCATTAGATTATAAGTAGATAATGTTAAGTTGGGGTTAGGGATAGTGTAATTTGACATGTACTTGCAAAGCTTCTTATAGTCAGTTAAATGTCTATTGAAGGAGCAGTATCAACAGATATTAAGCAGACAGTCTTCTAATCCTCAAATGGCCATCAAAAAAAGTATTACCTAAGATATTTTTATGCACAAAACATGTACTCCTTAACACCATGGTAACCATAGCAATGTAGTTGAGTGACACCTATTTGATCTCCACCATTTGTAACCAATTTTCTGTCATTTTAAGTAAATCACTGTGAACAGATGAAAAAAGCTCTTTCCTTTTCAGCATTTTCTAGTGTTTTTCAAAAGTTTCTCTTCCACATTTAAACATCTAAAAAATGCTGACATTGTCTGTGTATTGTTCATCAGTAAATCCAGACAATAATTTATTGAGTAAACATTCTGTCTTAATTGAAAAAAAGTGCTATCGATCGCTTGTGCAAACTAAGATTAATCTTTAAAGAGCCCATATTATACATGAAATAGGGTCATATCTTGGTTGTAAGGGTCTCCAACAACAGTTTAATATGCATGCAAAAAACACTTTCGTGGTCTTATAATCTGCATTTATTTTTACCTAATTATCCCAGTGACTCACGTATGAATCGTCCAGTGATTCATTTGTTTCCAAACCCCTCCTTAGCGCGAAGCTAATCTGCACTGATTGGACCAATGACAGTCTGTTGCGATTGGTCGACTGCCTTCAGTCAGAGAGTGAAATGCCAAACAGCTAATCAGCAATATAAAAGTAATCACAGTTCATACACGCTCGATAGTGTAGGCTTGGACTTTAGCTGCCAGTGGGTCAATGTAAATACAGACGATGGACTTGAAAATTCAGACGACTAACTATTTTATTGAGCAAAAACTCCAAAAACAGTTGAGGAGATCTCCTAGCTTCTCACTCTGCTCTTTTCACAGACACACACACACACACACACACACACACACGCACTTAACCCTGCTCCGGACGACAACGCGCGCGCACACACACACACACACACACACAATTACAAACACCTCCGGACGACATCGCGCGCACACGCACACACAGACACACACACTACTCCTCATCCACAGAGCTCCGTTAACAAAGCTGCACGCGTCGCGTTTTTAACGTGACTTTGCACGCGGTAAGAGAATATAGCCAGTTAACCTGATACAGTACACGCGGTTACAAGTAACAAATCACAACTAAATACATTTGCAAGCTAGAGTCAACGAGGCAACTTTAATCGCAAGTACTTACACTTGAGAAATGGAGGAAGAAAAATCCATCCTGACGTCCATCAGTAAGTTACTCTTTACTGATCCTTCCTTTAACAAACGCTGATGAAGTACTCTTTGTAGCATGTAGTTTCCAGAAGTTTCCAGTAGTTTCCAACTGCTTGGCTATAATGCTGAGGTTTCATCTTTGGGTAGAGACTCAATATATCCATCTGCAGTGTGACTTCAATCGACCGGCATGTTTGTGTGTGTGTGTGTGTTTGTGTGTGTGTCTGGGTTTCTGCGTCAGAGGGCGGGGCCTCAAGTTTGAAACCTCCCGGGTTTGCGCGTGCACGTGAATAACTTGGTTTCGTTCGTACGTCATGGCGAAACACCTAATGAGTCGGTATCAAGGCGACTCGTTTAAAGCACTATGAGTCGACTCTTTTATAGATGAATCAACAGTTTTAAACACTGTACACAAACAGATTTAAGCCTTAGCTGGATACTTCACTTCACTTAGAGCTGTGTTACACACTACATGGAGGTGAATTTTCAAAAACCCATAATATAGGCTCTTTAACAGGACTGTCAAAGTAGAGAGCAGACAAAACAATGGTGCAAACATCATCCACCATCTAGATTTGGGCCAAATGGATCACATGATTGCATCACATGAATAAAAATGCATAGTAGTTTGCCTAAATGCATATTTTACTGGCTTTCTTCCGAACAAACCATCATTATACAATAACTTGATTAATTACCCTACCCTACCTAGTTAACCTAATTAACCTAGTAATGCCTTTTAATGTCACTTTAAGCTGTAAAGAAGTGTCTTGAAAAATATCTAGTAAAATATTATTTACTTGTACCATGGCAAAGATAAAATAAATCAGTTATTAGAAATGAATTATTAAAACTATTATGTTAAGAAATGGGCTGAAAAGATTTTTAAAGAAATTAGGGGAAAAATAACAGGGGGGCTAGTAATTCAGGGGAGATAATAATTCTGACTTCAACTGGATGTAACTTTACTCTTATTGTATGTGTAATAGCGTGTTTTTTTATTTTAGCTTGTGTTTTTAAAATCTGGCAGGGGCAACAGATTAAAATTAGCTTATGTGGCTGAGTCTGACTTATGTACAGTTTTACTGTTGATTAATGAACATTGTCCCTGTTACATAAATACATTTCAAAAAAATTTTGTAGTATAGTATAGTATAGTATAGTATAGTATAGTATAGTATAGTATAGTATAGTATAGTATAGTATAGTATAGTAACCTTCCTTCTGGCAGGCGCTTCAGGTTTCCCCGGAGAAAAACCAGCAGACTGAAAAACAGCTTTTTCTCCAGAGCTGTCTCCCTTTTAAACTCTGACCCCCACTAACTGTTTTACACCCCACTCCCATACAAACATTATTTAATATTTACAATTTAACAAATAAAATTGCACATATTAGCACTATATTGCACATTTCATCTTGTTTAAAACACAATACAAAATATAAATATAAAAAATAATATAAAAAATATATATTTTTTAAAACAATATAAGGACAAAATTATTAGCCCCGTTTTTTTTCGATAGTCTAAAGTACAAACCATCGTTGTACAATAACTTGCCTATTTAGCCTAACCTGCCTAGTTAACCTAATTAACCTAGTTAAGCCTTTAAATGTCACTTTAAGCTGTATAGAAGTGTCATGAAAAATATTTAGTCAAATATTATTTACTGTCATCATGGCAAAGATAAAATAAATCAGTTATTAGAAATTAGTTATTAAAACTATTATGTTTAGAAATATGTTGAAAAAGCTTCTATCCATTAAACAGAAATTGAGGAAAAATATAAATGGTGGCTAATAATTCTGACTTCAACTGTACATTTGTAATTATGTTCATATCTATCTGCACACCCTGATTATAATAGTATATATTCATCTATTGTAAATCTCTGTTCATAGTTAATACAACCTGTATGTAATGCTTATAGTACATCCATCTGTAAATATCACCTAAGTTTTTTTTTTTTTTTTTTTTTTATAAATGCACTTTACAACATATACCTATATCCAACACTTGTTGCTATTGCAGTCCTGGAGGCCTTGTACATGTGTAATGACAATAAAGTTTAATCTAATCTAAATCTAATCTATAATACTGTATTGGTATGGCATTTTAACAACTAGTATTTGATATAATGTGATGAAGTATGTATGTAAATGTGTAATTTGCATATATGTTACTTGTACAATGCTGGAAATGTTTGAAAATGCACCTGAAAAAGTGTTAGAAAAGTGCTAAAGTTTGACTTTGAAAAATGTGTAAGAACCCTGAAAATAAAACTGAAGGCTCTTGACAAAATCCAAACACGGGTGTTCTCAACAGATTTGAATGCATGTTATTATCATGTGGAAACTGGCCCTAGAACAAACTAAGAAATATCCTTAAAATCACTATTTGTTTTGAGCAATAAATCAGTAAACATCAAATAATCCAAATTTAGCTGCAGTATGAAGTGAGTTTGTTGGTGAACCAGATTGTTGTCTTGTGTGGTCGCATGATCTAATATAATTCATTACAATATATTCTCTTCTCTATCAGGCTCCACCACAGAAAATGGTGTCAGTTCCTCAAGTATACTTGACAAGCCATCCTCGCAGAGTGACCCTTGTGGAAGCAGGACTATGATGGACTCTTGCTCCTCTCCTGTTCGCTTCAAGCAGGAGTGCGACTCTCAGGCTCCCTCATCATCCAGCACGTCCTCATTCTCCTCTGCTTCCTCCTCCTCTTCTTCTTCCTCGTCTCCGGCAGCTCAGAGACCGAGTCAGTCTACACAGGCTCCACGTGAATGTAACAGGACACAGGTCTTTCCCCGGACGGCGGTGCTGTCTCGGGCTGCGTATACCCTGCTGGCTCCTGAAACTCTGGGTCATCCCAGTTCTGCCTCTCTGCTGCCACATGCGGATGTGTCGTGGAGCAGTCCGCTCAGACCACCGGTTCCTCATGGCCTTGGTGGAGCAGAGCAGTCCCTCTACTATCGTCAGTGGACCACAGCCAGGCAACACCACGCTGATTATGAAGGCCCAGTACCCCATCCCCACCCAAGAAGACTGCTTCTGAGCGGCCCACCACAGGTCAGGAGTTGCTTTAAAAATCATGATCTATTTCTATTTAATGGATTGTGTGTTTTAATGCAAAGCATCACTACTATTTGTGACATTTACACAATAAAGGGACCAAAATACAGAAAGGATATATTAAGTATTTATTATTATTGTATAATAGTTATAAAATAAGCGATGAAAGTAAATGGACAAAAATACAACAAATATATTTTTTAAATGTTTCAAATATTAATCTATATAAAATAGGTCAAATAAACAGGATACATTGTTTACTAATGTGCAAAACACTTTTTTGTTTAAATATGCAGAATGCATCACGTAAATGCACAAAAATAATTCAAATTGAAATATAAGAAACCTTTAAAATATAGGATACACTGTTAAAGTATACAAAATAATTTTACTATAAAATGTAAAAAATTAAATAAACAAAAATATTTTACATTTTTAATACACATTGCACTTACATAAATTTATTTTTTTAATAGTTAACAAAAACTGTTGTTGTAACGGAGTTGAGGATCCACTTGCAGTTAATTTAGGAGAATAGTCAGGCAGGGAATGGTCAAAACAGGTTTAAAGAGGGATGGGTGACGTGAAACTGACCCAACAAACATGCATTTTTTCAAAGGCAACGTCGCCACTTACGTGCTCGCTACATTGTTACAACGTAGACATAGAAGGCTGTTGTAACATTGTGGTGTAACATTCAGAAACCTTGAGACGACGTTCTTACTACATATTACTACATATACTAAATATTGTTCATTCATTTTTCCCTTTTAATTTAATAGCTGCATATGTAAACTTTAAAGTGTAAAAATGCCACACAAATGCATATAATCAAACTTAAAAGTATACAATCAAGAAAAGTAAACAAGAAAGCAAATTAAAATACAGACACTGAGCATCGAAGCTCTGGACTGGAGAATACAGCAGACCGGGGAGCGCAACCGAAGACCAGACATAGTTGTTTGTACGGAGAAAGCAGTCATACAAAGAAATCCAACAAAGAATCCAGTTCAGAGATGGATCCACAGCAGCCACAAGTCAAAATAGGTAGAGAACAAGAGAGGACAGATCAGAGCTTGACACAACAGACAGACGCTGAACGGTCTGTTGAAATTTGAACTAATTCATTGATGACGAGAAAATGTTGTAGAATGGTCGTCCACAACTTAAGGCAACGCCGTTTTTGGCAACATTATGACACCGTTGTGACAACCTTTAGCAACAACATAAATCCTCAACCTCTTTACAAGTTTGGTACAATGTTGTAAGATCATCACTAGGTTGAGGCAAGGTTGTGTGTTTGTTGGGGTTTCGTTACAGTGTCGAGATTTTGAAGGCCAAGCTTTTTAAAACACTGCACTGAAGCATGATCCCAGGTCACGTGACTAAGGTGATTCGAAACACACAGGTCACATGACTAAAGTGTTTCGCAACACTAGGCCATGTGACTAAAGCAATTCAAAGCATCGGTCATTTCAGAAGTGTTTGGAGACCTTGCTGTATTTTTAATAATGTTACTGTTTTATGACCAAAACAAGACATATTTATTTACAAAGTGTTCATTGGGACGTCAGACCAGTGTCGAAACAAAATATGTTACAAGAACATAGAATTTAAAACTAACTATAACTGCATCACCCTGGATTCAAACTTAATACCTCTGAATACTTGTCAGAAACTCTCATCGCTTCACTAAATCAATTGAAACCTCAACTCTACAACGTTACAACGTGGGGTTTAATACCTCAATTTGCTTAACTGTATTTTGCTAAAGCTGTTCTAGAGCAATACATGAAAAATTATCACTGAGTGTCACTGTAAAGTGGGGTTTCGAAATACTTCGAAGCATCGACACACTTTCTTCGACTGTTTCAGTGTTTTATGAAGTAGGTACAAACTGGAAAGGCTTACAGAAAACAGAAACAAGACTCAGCAAAGAGTGTGTGAAACTGTAGTGTATATATAGTCCATGTAAACATTTAATGGTGAACTTCAGGTGTGCTTGTGTGCGTGTATGCGTGTGTGTGTGTGTGTGTGTGTGTGTGTGTGTGTGTGTGTGTGTGTGTGTGTGTGTGTGTGTGTGTGTGTGTGTGTGTGTGTGTGTGTGTGTGTGTGTGTGTGTGTGTGTGTGTGTGTGTGTGTGTGTGTGTGTGTGTGTGTGTGTGTGTGTGTGTGTGTGTGTGTGTGTGTGTGTGTGTGTGTGTGTGTGTGTGTGTGTGTGTGTGTGTGTGTGTGTGTCACTATCCAGATGAATGTCAGTTGTGGCAGGAATGATAGGAGCAATGACTTCTGGGAGTTGTGATTCGGTCCAGTGGCAGAATTGTAGTCAAATGTTAGATCGCTGGTGATCAAGACATTAATGTTTATTAAAATTCATTCATTCATTTTTTTAGCTTAGTCTCTTTATTAATCTGGGGTTGCCACAGCAGAATGAACCGGCAACTTATCCAACACATGTTTTAGTCAGTGGATGCCCTTCCAGCTGCAACCCGTCAATGCAACATGTCAATTTAGCTTACCCAATTCACCTGCACCCCATGTCTTTGGACTTGTGGGCAAACGGGAGCACACGGAGGAAACCCATGCGAACACGGATAGAACATGCAAACTCCACACAAAAACGCCAACTGACCCAGCCGAGGCTCGAACCCGAGACCTTCTTGCTGTGAGGCGATTGTGCTACCCACTGCGCCACCGTGCTGCCAGGTTTATTAGAATATGTGTAAGAATTAAAATATATTGAATATACAAAAATATTTTAAACTAAGAGGACGACTCTGTGGCTCAGTGTTAAGCACCGTTGCCTCACTCAAGAAGGTCGCTGCTTTGTGTCCCAGTTGGCATTTCTGTGTGGAGTTTGTATGTTCTCCCTGTGTTGATGTGGGTTTCCTTCGGGTGCTCCGGTTTCCCCCACTGTCCAAAGGCATGTGGTATAGGTGAATTGAATGTTTAAATAGCTTAAAAAATACATAAAACTGCAAAAGATTTTACTGTTCACATTTTCTACATAAGGTTTATCCATTTAAAATGAGACTTCTTAAACAAGAAGCTTATTTTACATTGACCTCTGATTCAGCTTATTGCCCCTTTGCCAGGCATCCAGTGCATCATTCTTTGTTTTTCCTCTGTGTTAGGTTGGAAAAACAGGTGCATATCTGCAGTTCCTACGAATTCTGTTCCGTATGCTGATTCGCCTTCTGGAGGTAGATGTTTATGATGAAGAAGAGCTGGAGGAAGGTAAGAAAGCTAAAAGTGTCCTTTTCATCTTTTTTTATTTAACCTAGCCATATGAGATGATACTTATGTAAAACTGTTTTTAATTATCTTAAATTACAATCTCTAGATGTGCAAGACAAATCAAAGGTTCCCCCTTCTAGTGGGCCACAGTGGCCTGATGTGGAGGACGTCCGCAAACTAAGATTTGACCTCTGCCCTCATGACTGCAAGTTCAAATATTCAAGTCCAGTGTATGCCAACAGGATGCCAAAAACACAGAGTGGTATGAAACTGCTTTTTTATGATGCTGTAAGTCAGTTTAAAGCTACAGTTGTGTACGTATGCTGATGTTGTTTTGTGTGTGCTCATAAAATGTAGGGGTTAAAACCGAAAGACTGGATACAGAAGCGGACCCACCAAAGAGAAACACAGTATCTGTTAGACTCAGCCTTTTTGCAGCCCACAATGCATTTCACCACTGTGAGCAGTGCCACCATTACAGTGAACCTATTCCTGCTGCTCAGGTATGTAAAATGTGATGATCATGTGATGCATCCGGTGGTGTAGTAGAGGCCATATATGTTTTGTGCACTCGTGTTTTTATTGGAGCTCTTTAAATGCTTGAAAAAACAAAATTAACTCTGCTAAGAAAAAAAAATACTCAACGTCATTCAGTGATTCAGTGTTTTTTTTTGCCTAGCAACATAAAATAACTGCAGCATATTACTCTTTTCTAAATTAAAAAAGTTCACCAAAAACAAGCTAGACAACGTAGTTTTTAAAAAAGAAAAGCACATTCTATATAGATATATACAGTATGTACACTTACCGGCCACTTTATTAGGTACACCTTACTAGTACTGGGTTGGACCCCCTTTTGCCTTCAAAACTGCCTTAATCCTTCGTGGCATAGATTTAACAAGGTACTGGAAATATTTCTCAGAGATTTTGCTCCATAATAACATGATAGCATCATGCAGTTGCTGCAGATTTGTCAGGTGCACATCCATGATGCGAAACTCCCATTCCGCCACATCCCAAAGGTGCTCTATTGGATTGAGCTCTGGTGACTGTGGAGGCCATTTGAGAACAGTGAACTCATTGTCATGTTCAAGAAACCAGTCTGAGGTAATTTGAGCTTTATGACATGGCACGTTATCCTGTTGGAAGTAAACATCAGAAGATGGATACACTGTGGTCATAAAGGGATGCACATGGTCAGCTACAATACTCAGGTCGGCTGAGGCATTGACACGATGCTCAATTGGTACTACTTTTGGGCCCAAAGTGTGCCTAGAAAAATCCCCCACACCATTACACCACCATTACCAATCTAAACTGTTAATACAAGACAGGATGGATCCATGCCTTCATGTTGTTGATGCCAAATTCTGACCCTACCATTCAAATGACACAGCAGAAATTTAGACTCATCAGACCAAGCAACGTTTTTCCAATCTTCTATTGGTCAAATTTGGTGAACCTGTGCAAATTGTAGTCTCGGTTTCCTGTTCTTAGCTGGCAGGAGTGGGTCAGAGGAGTGGTCTTCTGCTGCTGTAGCCCATCCGCCTCAAGGTTGGATGTGTTGTGTGTTCAGAGATGCTCTTTTACATGAGTAGTTATTTAAGTTACTGTTGCCTTTCTATCAGCTGGAACCAGTCTGGCCATTCTCCTTTGACCTCTGGCATCAACAAGGCATTTGCGCCCACTGAACTGCTGCTCACTGGATATTTTCTTGTTTTCTGATCATTCTCTGTAAACCTTAGAGATGGTTGTGCGTGGATATCCCGGTAGATCAGCAGTTTCTAAACTACTCTGAAGGACCAGCCTGTTTGACACCAACACCCATGCCACAATATTATATTTGTCCAGTATCAATCAGTACCAAAGCCAAAACGTTACCTAACCTAATAAAACAATTTAGCACACCCAAATTAATATGTTGATGTAAAATATTAAATAAAATTGTAATAAACAGGAACAATCATAAAAAAGAACATAAAAATTATTCAAGGTAGACATTTTTGAAAAGAATTGAAAGTTTATCTTTTTTGCTCATTTGAATTTAAATGTATTAGCTTTATATTCCTAAAGATATCAGAAGACCACACTATTTTTAAAGAATATATATATATATATATATATATATATATATATATATATATATATATATATATATATATATATATATAATTTTTTATTATTTTTTTTTTTTTAAATGCGCAAAAAAATTATTGGCTGTATTCACTGAGAAATGGATGAAAATATGCATTTTTTAAAAGGGGGTGTACTCATTTCTGTATTTGTCAGTGCTGTATATATTGTTATATATACATATATAATGTTCTACTGATCTACTGAAGAACAAAGACATATATAATGACTAATAATGACTAATTTAACAGTAAATCTCAGAGTAAAAGTATGCTAATCTATGGTTCAGAATAGCTAATCTAGAAAGCTGTTTGCCTATTGTAAGATTGTGTTATGTGTGTGTGATTGTAGCTCTCTGACTGCACCTTCCACGCTTTCACCTTTTGCTCATCTATGCTGGGAGAGGAAGTCCAGCTGCACTTTATCATCCCTAAATCCAAAGAGTCTCATTTTGTGTTCAGCCAACAGGGCAGTCACCTAGAGAGCATGAGACTGCCTCTGCTTTCCGACAAGGTGAGTTACACTCATTACATTGCACTGCCAATATATATAGGGGTGTCAAAATGAATTGTTTCTTTGATGCACTACGATGCAGACGTAGACAATTCAGTATCGGTTCATTAATAGATCATTACCGGTTATTACATACAGTACTGGCATTTATTTCATTTGCACTATGTCGTGGTAGAATACCATTTGAACGAGGTGAGGGCGAGTAATTAAAATGCTTCAACTACTTAAAAAGCAGGAAACTGTGCACAATTCACTGCACTTAAGTTTGCTGGACTGTGTTTCACTGACACTGAAGTACAGCATAATCAGAATACACTATTTTACTGCTAGGGAGAAATTGAAAGCTCTTTCTCTCTCTGTCTCTCTCTCACTTTGGATCTTTGAACTGCTGGTATGTTTGTAAGGTAACTTTTCCTCTATCACTATTAAAGTGATATTTGTGGATCCTGACACAAGTGTGTCTGTAGAGCGAGTTTTCCCCACGCCATCTATTATGAATCAGCTATGATAAATGCACAATGTGCGCTTTACTACATGCATATAGACTGTTACCGCTCATTTTTCAGTGTCCGTGTCTCTTATCAGGGAAAAGCACTGACCGTTTTTGAGCCAATTGCAACGCTTTCTGTTGAGCATGTGAACATAATGATCAATCATAGGCATGTAAGAACACACTCGACAATGCTCAAAAAGTGGAATAATATTTACATTAGTTTATTTGCTATAAATGCTCATGTTGTCCTCTTTGAGTGTACTTGAGTTTTGTTTGATAGATCCAGAAAGAGTGTTTTCTGCGAGCAGGTAAAACTAAGGGTAGAGTTTAGGATTGAGCTGAGACCTATGACGATTTTAAAGACAATATTTAACTAGTTTCACATAATATAGACCTATAACATGTTTAATTACATTGAATAAAATGACTATTATTATTATTTTTAATCATCATCTAATAATAAATGAACTACAATTCAAGAGTTCACACTTAGCTTATGATTTATAAAAGCTTGTTTGGCATGCTGTCCCGGGAGAGAGCCCCAAGCTCAAGGACTCCTCGAGCCCGGGGCTTCCTCCCGTGTGGCAGAGCGAAAGGGGAGCCTGAGCTCGGTGGATCTCAGAACTCCCCTGCTGCGGTAGTTAAGGGAACACGAGGGGTTAGATAAATGCTTGGTTGTTATGTATGTTGAATGTCTTTGGATGGTGGGAGGAAACCGGAGAACCCGGGGAAAACCCACGCGGACACGGGGAGAACATACAAACTCCTCACAGAAACACTCACCGGTCTTGTGGAACCAGGGCCGGCAGTGTTCTTGCTGTGGGGCTCGCAGTGTTAACCAGTGGGCCGTCGTGTCGCCCAGTCAGAGGTAAAGGAGGAGAAAAGGGGAGGAGGGGGGTTTCTTCCAAACGAAGATAAAGTGAACTGAAAACGGTGGTTATTTATAGTAACTTAGGGCTCGTATGATTGGAAGATATTGATTAGCAAATGCGAGACCGGCCGTGATAAATCATAAGCACGTGATTCTCTCGAAATTAGTTTATGAATAAACTTCACATAATTTGACGGCTTCAGCTATGCACATCAACGTCACCTAACTGACACTTTCAAACTACAGCATCCGACACAATGCATTATTAGCATAAACAGAATATTAAACTAACCTACTTACAGGAAAACATAAAATATTTTTTTTAAGGGTGATTATACACCTATATTCACAGTTTCACATAAATCAGCATGCCAAAAATGATTTATCTCTCTTTCTTGCTGGCATTGCTCTCTTGCTCTCTTTCTCTCTCAGAAGTAGCAGTTGATGCACACACTGCACGTAAGGGCACTGCAATACACAGCCACATCTCATAGCAAATTCAGGCTTAAGAATTAAAAATGATGCAATTTTTAACTATTTGAAATTGAATTTGGATTACATATTTTGGAATATTTGTAACGACCCTACCTTCTAAGTAAGTAATAAGACTAAAGGTTCAGAAAAAAGAACATTTAACTTGCACACTTGCATAGTCTGTTTGTTTCAAGACTTTTTTATTTTATTTTGTTTAATTTTTTACATGTTAGTCCATACATTTACAGCTACATTAATGGTTGTAAATGCAGGTAAAAAAACAAATGCATTTAAAAGTGGAAAGTAAAAAGAAAAAAGACGGAGGAAAAGAAAAAGCCAGAATAAAGTGGATAAAGAAATGAGTGACTTTGTTCATATCATTATGGCTCGTTATTGAGGTATTAAAATCATGTCGGAGGTCCATCTCTTTAGGAAAATAGTTTTTTTTTTTAAATTCGCAGTGCATTTTTTTAATTATTTTTCCTTTTGTTTTCCTTTAACTGGTTTTGTCAATATTATATATTTACTTGTGAAAAATGGTGAGGCTCATCTTGCTGCTGTCTTTATTAAGCACACTGTTAATATTGTTAACTATTTGGTTGGTTGTTTGATTATTTATTTTATTATTTTCCTTTTATTTTACAAATTTGTTGAATAGGCGATTATAGATCATTCATAATTAGATTTTTGTCTAAACTTTACTTAAACATGTTAAACATATTGAAAAAAATGCCAAACAGAAAATGTGAAAGCATAGTTTCTATATGGCATGAATGGAAAGCTTTAAGAAAACATCTAGGATCAGCTCTCTGTATCTAGAAATACGTTAAACTCAAGGACAATGCGAATAAATTTAGAGATGCATCTTGATTTACTGTAAGGAGCACCTGGAAACCTGAGCAATGCAGAAAATCCTGTGCTTGCTGAGTCATCTCTCAAGTGTTCTTACGGTATGTTTTCTTGGTTGTGTTGCACAATTTCTAAAAAAAAGTGTTGCACTGTTTGCTGATTCAGGAGTCGGGCATGATGAAAAGCCCAATATTCACCCCAACCACGGGCCGCCAGGAGCACGGCCTTCTCAACATCTACCATGCCATGGAGGGAGCCGAGCACCTGCACATCCTGGTGGTCAAACAGTATGAAATGCCACTCTATAGGAAATACTGGCCCAACCACATCCTGCTGGTGCTGCCCGCCATGTTCAACAACTCAGGAGTCGGTGAGTATTGGTGTCAATGATGAAGAGGAATGTGCATTGTGTTATTAAAGGGCCATGAAACCCCCCACTTTCGGTTCAAGTCTACCGCAAATGTTTTTCAAAAAATGCATCATAATAGACGTGGAACTCTGCGAGTAGAGGCAGGAGTGGGCATGGCCAGCAGAACAGAGTAGAAGGAAGGGAGCGAACAACTGTCGTCAGTCAGCTTACAAAATGAGAAACAAACCATGAGGAGACCCATGATTTTATAGTTTACAAAGTTAAAATGCAAAGAAATAAACAGTAATTTAATGTCCTGCTACATTTTTTATTCGTAAATTCATATACTCAGTTCAATTCAATCTCAGTTTATATCATTATAAAGATAATCGAGTTTATATAAACACTATAAATGAGGACTTCTCCCTCAAGCTCCGGGTCTGAATGCAGACTCAGTGCAGCAGGTCTCTTACCCTGCCTATTTCAACCATTAGCCCTGCTGGTAATCTGGAGGATTTAGGCGTACTCAGCAGCACGGCGATGTGTCTAAATTAGTGCTGTCAATCGATTAAAAAAAATTAACTAATTAATCGCACCTTTAAAAAAAAATTATCGCGATTAATCGTGATTAATCGCTTTTAAAATACTGAAACTTGTAATTTTGCCTATTTAAATGTAAAATTTATGTAAACGCAAGAAAAATTCAAAATATTATTGTTTAATAGAGTTTTGTTTAACTTGTAACACAGATTTCTTCATGTAAACAACATACCCACAATAAACCATCAAGATCCTGGCTTGACAGCCATATTTATTACAGAAATTAAAACACAGGCATGTTAATGATATTAAAATTTCAAAACAATCAATGCCAATAAAGAAAACCTTGATTTCCATGTTGGATTCTAAGTGGACTGCAAAAAAATGCCAAAATACAGGAATTGCAGATATGGAAAATGAAAAATTATAATAATAAACTATAGAATACAAACTGTTGCAGTCATTGTAAAGTTTTATTGCTGTGAGTTGAGAACATTAATTATAGAGTAGAAACAATTTTGCTTAATCCTCTTTTACATTCATCCAGTTGCTAAGACTAGGAGTATCCCGCAAGTACACAGAGACTCCCAAATGCCCGCAAATGAATGATAATTTCTTGCAAAAAATTTCTTGTCGTTAAATACATTGCACACCCCTCTCGCCCCTACTCAGATACGTCGTTCACTCCACCCCTGACACCCCTCAATGGGCCTGACACAGACCCACATTTATTGCATGTTGAACACACGTCCACCACAACAGGAAGTAAAAAAACCCTGAACTGCGTTAATTGCGTAAATTTTTTTTAACGCGTTAATTATTTAAAAATATTTAAATTTATTTTAATTATTTAATTTTGACAGCGCTAGTCTAAATGTGAACGAACTTAACTTTTAAAAGACAAAGTCCGTTATTCTCCAATTCTCGTACTGCTCTCTCAACAAAAATGCTTGTTGCGCACATACAGCTTTGCTGTATCAGCCCTGACAGGGTCGTGGGGAAAAGCATGCAACAAACCCAGTTGATCATGGAAACAAACACATACAACCCTTCATGATAGGCTAAATATTGTGTGCCGTGGGTCTGTGGACGCGGTCTCACTCAGTCATCAACATAGAATCTCACAGCTTGGCACTGGCAGGTCTGTCTTGCCTTCGAAAAGCATGCACAATCATGAATAATTAAGAAGCAGGCTCTTCCCATGGGATAAGAAAACTCTGCTATGAATAATGAGAAACCGACGCGTCATCACTCCACTTGTAGTTTTGAGCTATGTCACCGGTTTTGATCCCGCCCCAAAAATCATTTTAAACCCGGAAGATGAAATTAGCTGACAAAAGCTCAAAATGATCCAGTTTTACCCACAATTAAAGCTAACAGGTGCTAATATTGTCTTAACTGATGCCCTACACGCACAAATCTGTTAACATTTCAAAAAAAAGTACTCAGGGTTTTCTTGAACCTTTAAGCGATTGTTCACTCATTTGTCATCACATAGTCCTCCTCTTTACTAGTTCTAAACTTTTCTTTCTTCTGTTGCACTTAAAAAACAAGATTTTCTAAAGAATTTTTGAAACCAGCTGCCATTGACATCTATAGTACTAGAAAAAGAAAATAATGTAGGAAGTAACTTAAACAGGTTTCAAACCAGTGGAGGATGAGTAGATGATAGAATGTCTATTTTGGGGTGATCTATGCCTTTAAGAAAACATCCTATCATACAGTATGTTAATGTATGATGTATTGAATGGGGAAACATCAAATTCTCCAAACTGTTTGCCAAGGTTACGATACATTACAAATTTGGAATCACAGATATTTCTGATCAGATTTTCTATTTTTACAGACATTTCTGAATGTTAGAATCAAACAAAATCTGCATCTTTGCTCAAGCTAATGTGCATGCACACTTCAAAGGAACGAGATCACAACACTTCATATATGGCCGTTCTTCAGGACCAGCAAAACTTGAGAATAATAGGGCCGAGGAAAAAGGAGCTGGATAGCTGAGAAGAGACTGAAGAGTGACAGAGAGAGGGAAAAAAAAAAATCTGCGTACGCTGCCACACACAGATTTTGGCATTATGGTGGACAGCGGTGACTCCCCTGGGCTCTCCGGGATGGCCCTTCCGGTGGTGAGCCCCACATCCCCTCCTCCTCCCCATGCTGGGAGACGGTAGCAAGCAGATCCTTTCCTTGCCAGCCTCAGGCCGCCCTGGCACTCTGGGCAGATGAATGGTTTCTCCCACACTCGGGTTAACTCCCGAACAATCGCACTCCCTCTCATCGGTGAGGGCAACTGGACAATGTGTCCCTCCTTCTCCCAGATTTCAGCATCCCTGTAATGAAGTTTTTGGCCACCTGGCCGCTGGAAAGAAGGTGGAGAACTGACAAGCTTTTAATACATGTTTAATTAGTAAATAAAACAAATAGATGTTTTTGGTAGAAAGGAAACTAGACTGACTAGGCAAACGGATAAAACAGGAAAAAGCTGAAATAAAGACTTCTAGAATCTTAAAGAGAGTAATTAAACAAACAAAAAGACAACTAATAATAAACTACTACAAGACTGGGACTAACGAAAATGGTTATAAAGATAAAAGCAAGACAAGATTAAAACACAAAATTAAGTAAACACTAGGAACAAACTCAATGTAGTAACAACAACAAACAGTAAATAAACAAGATAACTAGATTAACAGGCAAGACTAAACACTATGTATGGAGACGAGGCTAAGATACAGGATAAGCAAAGACAAGCTCACATGGAACGAACCAGCGAAGAAATGAGAACACACTGCACAATATATAGAACAAAGCACACGAGAGGCAGGTGAAAACAATCAGGAAACAAATGTGAGGTGACTGAAAACAAGGAGGAAAGACAAGAGGAGCACATGACTAACACTAATTAAGGCAAAGCCATGTAAGCAAGCACAGGACAAACGAGACTTTCAGTTCAGGACCATGACAGACTTAAATGAATTGAAATGCTGTTTCAGGTGCGGCTCGATTCATGATCAAAGAACTGTCCTATCACAACCTGGAGCTTGAGAGGAACCGACAAGAGGAGCAAGGCGTCAAACGGCAGGACGTGTGGCCCTTTATCGTAATGATGGATGACTCCTGCGTCCTGTGGAACGCCCAGCAGCCTGGACCAGACGGCAAAACGTATGTAACATTAGAACTGTTGAGCAAGCAAACATTTTTTTGTTCACACTAATATCTTGATTGTGTAACATGCATGGATTGTGTGTGTGTGTCTCAGCGAGGTGATGAACGTGTCTCTGAAGAGCGTCTTGCAGCACATGGAAGCCACTCCAAAGATCTCCCAGTATGCAGTTTGTGGCCTGCGCAAATGGAGCAGTAGTTTGTCTTCTCAAGCTCCCACAAGCCCTTTCTCTCGCTGTCATCTCCACGACCTCATCTTGCTGAATGTTGACCTCACACAGAACGTCCAGTATGACCTCAATCGGTGAGCGTTTGCTTTCTCTTGTTCAGTAAAAACAATATACACTATGATAAATGTAACCCTGAGGCTAAATAAAAGAAATTTGTAACATTTAAAATATATCAATTCTAACCTTCATATGCCAATATATATTTTAAAATGTATTTCAGGGTCACGAAAATACATGTTTAACTTCACAATAGAATGTGGATCGAGGTAGAACGATATTAGAACGAGATTTCTCAATGTAATTTTTTTTGCTGTATTTTTGTTGTGTATACCTTTCTTTAAAAATTTTACACATAAAAAATAATGTTACATTAATTCATGTTCTTATTAAATAATTAGGCTTTTAAATTGCTTTAAAAATCCATGATTAAAATACATATTTATGTAAGTTTATATGGATGTATGTATTATAGATATATATATTTTTTAAATTATTTATTTATTTTTATTTATTTATTTTAACATTTTTTTGTTTTTTATTTGTTTGTTTTTATTTATTTATTTTTATTTTTATATTTGTTTAATTTTATTTATTTGTATATTTGTTTTTATTTATTTATTTATTTATTTATATGTTATTATATTATATATTATATATATATAATGTTTCAACATTTGAAAATATATGTGATCCTGGATCACAAAGTCCATTGTTAACATTTTAATTTTCTGAAAAGCTGAATAAATATTTTTTTTATTTATGTCGCATAAGACCCACTTGTCCAAAATGACTGAGCACTTAGACTTTTTTTCTATTTTAATGTTTTGCTGCAATTTATTGACCTTTCTTCTATTGTTTTTGCATTGTTTGCTTTCTAGTTGTGTTGTATAATTTGTTTTTACTGGTGTAAAGCACTTTGGTCAACCTTGGTTGTAGTAAGTTGCACTATCGGTCAAAAGTTTGGGGTCAGTATGATTTTTAAATGTTTTAAAATCAGCTTCACCTGCTCATTAAGGCTGCAATTATTTAATTAAAATACAGTAGAAATTGTGAAATGTCATTGCACTATGCCATGTATGGTTATAGTAATACAAGCAACAATGTCTGTTATAGAAATAATAATAATTTCATTTCAAACTACATACAATAAGATTTACTACATGAATAATTTTTTTAACAAAAAAAATGAAAAAAACACTTTTGACTTGTAGTGTAAATAAAGGTTGATTTGTTTTTTACAAACTTAAATTTAAAAAAATAGTGTTAGATGATCCTTAATAAAATTATAATGATTGTTGATGTAAAAAAAAAAAAAATATATATATATATATATATATATATATATATATATATATATATATATATATATATATAATATATAATATGATTTATACAATATAGCTATTCCCACAAATATACCCATGCAATGTAAGTTTTGTTGTCTAAGGTTACATATTATATTTAACAGTTAGGATTAAGTAGGAAGAACAACTCTTTTTTTGAGTATGCATGTATTATTATTGTTGTTTTGAGTCTTAACAGTCTGGATGTGTGTTTTTGTACATGTAGGTTCACATGTGAAGAGGTGGACTTCAACCTGAGGGCAAACAGCAGTGGTCTTCTGCTCTGTCGCTTCAATCAATTCAGCATCATGAAGAAACACATTCCCATCGGAGGACATAAAGACTTCCTCATCAAACCCAAGCTCATGGTGAGCTTCATAGTTGCCCTTCAGTATGCTAGTTTTACATCCAAAAAAGTAAAATTACAATATATGTTGATGGTAAAACCCAGATGGTGAAGGTCACACCAACAGTACTGCATAAGCTTTAGTCCCAGGGGTGGGGTGGGTTTTATGGTTTAGACATTTTGTGATTTTTGAAATGTGTTCTGGGTTTAAACGAATTACTTATTTATTTATTTGTTTTTTAATTATTTATTTTATGTGTTATTTAATTTGGTGAATTCTTTTTTGCAACAAAAAATAAATAAATAGAGATGGTGTAATATTTGCTGTAATGCTGTGCAATGCAATGCAATGAATATCACAATAAAAATCTTTTAAAACAAAAAATATGTTGATGGTAAGTGCAGTTAGATAGTATGTTCACTAGTGGGCGCTACAGTAATGGTAATTTTTGTGCATGTTGAACATGAATTTTGTTTATATTAAAGAACTAGAACTTTAGAAATATATATATATTTTTACAATTCACAGTGCTTTTGTACATTTATACAACAATTGCTAGTATTAAATGTAAATCAATATAATGCATTACACTATATATTACTGTAATTTATAAGTTAATGTTTATATTTATAATAATAATAAATATTATTATTATATAATTGTTTATATATAATTTATATTTATATAATTACTAACTATTTACCATTTTATTTTTAATTAAATAAATTAATAATACACTTATTCAGCATTTACAATAAATATGTTTATATTTGGAATTCTATTTCAGATAAACATTTTTGAAAGATTTTTGTATGAACATGTGACCGTGAATGCTGGAGTAAACAGGGCAACAATAAACTACATTTTAAAATGTAATAAATATTTTAAAAATTATGAAAAAAGTTTTTTAGTGTAATTTGACAATTTCTTTACTGTATTTTTGGTCAAATAAATGGAGCCTTGGTTAGAAATAATTATTTAAATATTTATTTAAAAAAAGGAATTTCTTTCTAAAATATAAGACAAAATGACCACAAACATTTAGTATTTTTTATTTTTATTTTATTATTTAATTAAATTTTTTATTAATATATATCACATTCCATTTCATTTGTCACATTTCTGGAACTCTGAAAGCAGTGCTTGGTAAAGTGCAGTGTATTTGTAAAAGACAGCTCAAAAATAACCTCTTCCTCCTGTGTGTGCCTGCAGAGAATAGAGACGCCGGTGCGTGTGTGTGCGTCTCAATATGTGTGCGCTCCGGACAGTGAACAAACGTTGCTGGCTGCGCCAGCTCAGTTCCTGCTGGAGAAGTTTCTGCAGTCCTGTAGCCATCGGCTCTTTCCTCTGGCTCTCAGTAACAGTGCTAACCCTGTGTTGTCCATAGACAGCTACCTCAACCTTGGACCAGAGGTAAAAAGAAAAAAAAATACACACACACACACACACACACACACACACACACACACACACACACACACACACACACACACACACACATATATATATATATATATATATATATATATATATATATATATATATATATTAGTAATTCCTCACATTTGTTATCACAAGTTCACAAAGTTACTAAATTAAATTACTGATTTCACTAGTTGGTGCATATTATATCTGAGGTCATTATGTTAGTTAGCATCATAGACTGTAAAAGATATGGACGTAGTATTCGTGATGTCACCCATAGGTTTCTGAAGAACGCAAATGAAGCTACTAGTAGGCATGGCCAACGGTTGCCATTTGTTCGTACATTAAACAAGTGCAAAGAGGCATAGCTACAGACACCTGCTAGCATTTTGCTTTGACGTATTTGGGAAAACAATACTTCATTACCTGCAACTCATTTCTGTTTTGACTACATGTGTTTGGTTGTATACTATAGCAATAAAGTGTTTAGTTCTTTAAAAACACTGTTGTAATACATTGAGCCACTAAACCTTGTTCTTATGATACTCCTCTACCAGAGGAAAAAGCAAATTACTGCCAAACTCTTCAAATATAGCCAAGTAAGTGAACGCAAGGCCACTTATGAAATATAGGCATAACACTGTATGACAACACTTCAGATGACTGTTTTATAGCCTACAACTAATCAATCTGTCAGATTCTGGAGTGCATTACAGGTTTAAAGAAAATTATAAATGATAAATGATCTTAAATAAAGCAAATACATTTATAGAGATGGTATAAAAGTATATAATTTCACTCATCTGGGAAACAGAGTGTAGGAAATAATCCCAAAAGGCAATTGACTGTGTAAAGCCACATAAAGCAAAACAAAAACACAATGCATATGCCGAGTTCAACGGCTAATCAGCTGGAATTAGCTGAGGTGAAGTGTTGGCGACCAGAGAGACCTTGCTGTCACTCAAGTGGCCATGCCCTTGATTATGCAAATAATATAACTTAATATAAACGAAATGCATGAGTTATAAAAAATTCACCCCCTCAAAGTTCTCATGAAGGGTAATATTAGCTATATGAACCAAAATTGTTCTTTGCACCAGGCCTTCTTTGTAAACACCTTTTTTTTGCTGTAAAGTTGGCCATTTTACAGAGGGGTCAATAGAAATGTGCTTTATTATGGTGCCAAGACTAGTGGAATTTCGATGAATTGCAATTTCATTTACTTCTGTAGGCCTATTTGCTTCACAAGGGAGAGCGGGAGGTTGCCAATTGGTTAGCATGCACTGGTCATCATAATGCAACTTGCTTTGAAGTAACTGGGAATGTTTGAGACTTGCACACTGTAAAAGCCTTAGTGAACAATGAGGAAAACACAATTCACTTGAAAAGAGTCGATTAATGTCAGTCAGAACATAAAAAGACAAAATGTTTTGTGTGGCTAACTAGCTAGTATGCTAGCTAGCATACTGTATGACTGATCAAATGAATGTTCTAGACTGGTTTATAATTTGATGTTTATGACTTTTTGGATGTTAAAAGAAAAGTATTTGTTTACATTTTAAGAAATGGCGATATTAATATATACAACAGACTATTTTGTCACTTTGGATTCTGGCTAGTTTTACTGTAGAGTCCCTAAGAATCTTATGTGCCACGGATCATATGTATAATTTTTTTCATGACACAATGAATCAATGTAGGACCCATTCATTTCTGTTTTCAGAGGCTAAATAATCACAATTTCAAAGAATAGTTCCCTCAAAATCATCAATTTTTCATTCCCTAAAGGGATGGTTTTCCAAAAATGAAACTTTTGTCCTTCTCTTGTTCCAAACCTGTTTAAGTGTCTTCAATTGAAAACAAAAGAAGATATTTTGAAGAATGTTGGAAAGTAGCAGCTCTTGACTTCTATAGTATTTCTTAGTTTCTACTATGGATGTCAATGGCTGTGGCTGTTCCAACATTCTTCAAAATATCTTCTTTGGTGTTCAATAGAAGAAAGAAACTTAAACAGGATTTTAAGATGAGTAAATGATGTCCAAAGATTTAGTTTTGGGTGAACTCTCTTTAATAATGCTCCATTACTGGTAAGGAAATGACTGAAATATATTGTTGACAGGTTATATTCATATTAACATATTGGAGTAGTTGTTAAAAATGTTTGATTTGTTGCGTTTTCTTTGCTTTTGCAGGTTCAGGTGTGTTATGTGAGCTCGCGACCTCATTCGGTGAATGTAGATCATCAAGGTGTCATTTTCAGTGGCCTGCTGCTCTACTTGTGTGACTCCTTTGTCGTTTCAAGCCTTCTAAAGAAATTCAACTTCCTCAAAGGTAAGGCCAGGTCTATCTAGAACAACTATCTAGAACAAATACCTAGACAGATAAACCATCTAGATAAACTAAAGATACCTCTTCTATCTAGACACATATATTAACAAATATCTATAAATATTACATCAAATCTTACTGACCCAAAACTTGTAAATGGTCGTGAATTCTTTATTGGGGATGCACTGAATTTTTGGCTGTTGAAAGTTATCACCTGAAAATGGAATTTTTGGTTTTCGCGCAAAAGAGAGAAAAGTCTGAAAATATGAGGCGGAAAAAAGTTGATGCTGCACCACAGTGTTCAGCACGCTGGTTTCACTCTCCCTTCAGTCATAGTCACTGCACAGTGTACACTGTACAGAGCTTTGACACAGGATGTGGAAGTCACTGAGCTTTGAAACACATTCATTTCAATGCTCTATGCAAAGGCCTCTCAATTAATACACTGCCAGGACATTCCTATATAGTATACCTGTTCCAACTACTTGCAATAGTGCTACTGTTCTGTCGTAGCAACACTTGTAACATGACGCCTTTTTACTGTGAATAAAATGTGGTTATTTTATATACTTGTTTTTTTTTCATCTATACAATCTAAATTATTGAGTTATATTTAAAAAGTCTTACAAAATTATATTCATTAATTCATTCATTTTTCTTTCGGCTTAGTCAATTTATTAATATGGGGACGCCACAGCAGAATGAACCACCAACTTATCCAGCACAAGTTTTACGTATGGGATGCCCTTCCAGCTGCAACCCATCTCTGGAAAACATCCATACACACTCATTCACACTCACACACTACGGAAAATTTAGCTTACCCAATTCACCTGTACCGGATGTCTTTGGATGCTTCGAATTCCCTCACAGTCCAAAGACATGCCGTATAGGTGAATTGAATAAACTAAACTTGCCATAGTGTATGTGTTAATGTGTGTGTATGGATGTTTCCCAGTGCTGAGTTGCAGCTGGAAGGACATCTGCTGTGTAAAACATAAGCTGGACAAGTTGGTGGTTCATTCCGCTGTGTCGAACCCTGATTAATAAAGGGACTACGCCCAAAACAAAATGAATGAATGAATAAAGTTGGCGGTTCATTCAGCTGTGGTAACCCCTGATAAATAAAGGGGAATTGAATAAACGAATTAATATTACACAGTACTTGAGGTTTTTGGCCAAGTTCGTTGAGAATTGTCGGTTTTGTTTTCCTTTTGGCAAATAATTTTCATTTCAGTGCATCCCTAGTTTTTATTTATATTTATATTTTAGAACTGAAATTACATCTAACCTAAAAGAAAAATCATTGCAAATTAGGATTTGGTTGGTCTGAAATCACTCTCCACTCAGACATTAATTATTAAGTTCATTAGAACCACCAGGAAAGTAATAGCACACCCAGCTCTAGACATTTTGATCCCATAAGAAGCTTTAAATGATGATCATTTCTTGCAGGCGCCACGCTGTGTGTGATCTGTCAGGACCGGAGCTCTCTGCGTCAGACTATTGTACGTCTGGAGCTGGAGGATGAGTGGCAATTTCGCCTGCGAGATGAGTTTCAAACGGCCAACTGCAGCGAGGACCGTCCGCTCTACTTCCTCACAGGACGACATATCTAATCTCCAAATTTCCATTTACCTTTAACTCTTTACCCCCAAACACACAAGACGTTTTTCAAGCTGAAAACTCTAGAGTTTCTGCCTCTGAAGAGAATATATTAAAGGCTCATTCACACTATGAGTTACTCACAGTGGCAAAGCGACCATTCATTTCAACTGAGAGTGAGCAACCTCCGTCGGCTTGAGCAACAGTGACCGTTGGTGATCAGGCAACAAAGTTAAGAAACCTTCAGCTTTATGCAAATGAGGAGCAACTTTCTTGAGCAACAGCCAATAGAAGCACCATTAGAGCTCACATGATCTTCTCTAAGCTCGCTCAGAGGCCGGTTGTATTCTCCGTGCTATAAACCTACAAAGAGCTGCGTTTGCAGCAAATTGCCACCAAGAGCGACAGGCAGCTCCAAAGACACTGCTTGTGTGAATGAGGCATAAGACTTGAGATGCTACCTTGGATGAGGTTTGAGGATAGATACTCTGGAGTGTGTCCAAAAGAACAGATACTGTGCTGGATACAGCTGTTGTGCGTTTCAGTTTTTGTACGTTTTAGAAAAACATTGAGAACTTTTTGGTGATTTTGATTTTGTGTGTATTATCACGCAAGGACAATGCGAAGGACAGATATGTCCTTCTATATATCTCAGGGTTTTTTGTCTGAAGACAAAATGACTTACTACTGGTTTCCTTTCCTCTCCCCTGCTTCATTTACTTCTCACGCCATCCAAAAAAGACTGATGAACTCCTCAAGCCTCATTCACACTATGAGCGACTCGCAGTGGCAAAGCGACAAGCAACTTCTCATTTCAATGTAAAACTAGTGTGTCCTACACAAGCAACATCGACCCTTGGTGACCAGTTGGATAAAGTTGAGAATCGTTCAACGGAAAACAAGTGACTTCCGGCGACCTCCAACTACGCAAGTGGCATCTACCATTGGAGACCAGGTGGACAAAGTTGAGAATCGTTCAGCAGAGAACGAGTGACTTCTGGCAATCTCCATCTACGCAAGCGACATCAACCGTTGGCGACCAGGTAGACGTCGCTCAGAGGCCGGTTGTATTCGTGCTGTAGCCTTACACAGACCTGCGTTTGCAGCAGGTAACCACCCAGAGCAACAGACAGCTACAAAGTCGCTGCTAGTGTGAATGAGGCATCGCACTACAAGTGACTCGCAGAGGCAAAGCGACAAGCGAACATTCGTTTCAAAAGGAGAACGAGTGACTTTCGGCGACCTCCATCTACGCAAATGAAAGCGACCGTTAATGACCAGGTGGGCGTGCCATGCGATATGTCAAAGTTGAGAATCCTTCAACTTCATGCAAACAAAGAGCGACTTTCTTGAGCGACAGCCAATAGGAGCACCAGTGATCCTATTTCAGTTCCTTCAGAGGCCAGTTGTATTCTCCGTGCTGTTGACCCACACGGACCTGCATTTGCAGCAGGTCGCCACCCAAAGCAAAAAACAGTTACAAAGTCGCTGCTAGTGTAAACGAGGCATCACACTATGAGCGACTTTTATCTGCAAAGAAACAAGCGACTGCTCATTTCAAAGGAGAATGAGCAACTTCTTGGCAACCTCAATCTTAGCAAGCGACAGCAACCATTGACGAGCAGGTGTGCGTGTTGAGCTACTTTGTCGCTGCTAGTGTTAATGAGGCATCACGCTGGAAGCTCACACAATGGCTGGTGATACTAGGTTTGTTGCATTTCAGTAATACCAACATATGTCATAAAGGTTCCGATGTCTAAAAATCTTATAGTCTTTTATCTCGCCAAAGACATTACCTTACGCTAGCAAAACAAGTTCAGCATTTCAGTGAACCATAAAGTCAATTACTGATGTCAAAGTCTGCTATTTCCGATACAACTAATGATGTTTTTTATGATTGTAAATGTTAGATGATGCAAAGGTACTTTTATTTGAAGTAAGCATCTACTAGTCATCAGATTGCAGCTTTTTTTGAGGTAGCTGGGTACAGAGTTGCACACTGTAAATGCCTTAAGAAACTATGACATTAACATCAGAAGGGTCAATTAATTTCAGTCAAAACATTAAAGATGTTGCCTATTTTGTGTGGCTAACTAGCTAGTATGCTAGCTAGCATATATGTCTGATCAAATGAATGTTCTAGACAGATTTATCTTTTGGTGTTTATGACTTTTTGGATGTTAAAAGAAAAATCTTTGTTTACATTTTAAGAAATGGCGATATTAATATATACGACAGACTATTTTGTCACTTTGAATTCTGGCTAGTTTTACTGAAGAGTCACTTTGAACTGAATGTGTCACAGATCAGAGATGTTCTTTTATTTTTCCATGACACAATGAATCTACCTAGGACCCATTGGATTCTGTTTTTGGAGTGATTTATTTAAAAATTAGATGAATGGATCCCTTTTTTTAGGGATTGTTTTATTTATTAAACAAGCTTCTTGGGACTGATAATCATTGAAATAGGTCAAGTCCTTCAATTCATCGCCAAAACCTTTGCACACTTCCATCAAAACTAGTATGTACAGATGATGTATTAGAAATGTACGAATGTAAACAAGAAGCTGTACAAATAAATGCTTTACCAAATGGAGTGTTTAGTATGAGAGGCATCAGGTCCTGCGATGATACTGATTGTAACGATGAAGAAAGCCAAATACCCACTGGACAACCTTTAGAATGTGTCTCACTTGTAGATAATTTGATGTGCACATAAATTATGCAATTTGCTTCTCACAATCTTTGCATTTTGTTTCTGTCAGCTGTGAATATTCTCAACATATGTAGCACCAATCCATTTGAAATCGTCTACCTCATGATCTACTGGCCGACTGTGGTTCAGTGAACGTTTGATTTCAGATACATGTTCGTTTTGCAGTTGAGATGATGAATGTAATAAAGTGTTATTAACAGCCGTAAAGTGTTGGAGTGATTCTTTCAGATATCAAAAATGTAGAAAACAATTGTGAAACCTTTACTTTTGCCATCATGTGAGGGTGGCTAAGGGTGCTTGTTGTTGACGGTTCAATTTAAATGACAAAATGGAATTTCAAAATGATATTGAGTTCTTTTACTTGAATTTGATTGGCTAAGTGTTGTTTCAAGAGAGCTAACACCAGTGCTGGGGACAGTCTGTCTTCAGTAGTGGGAATTTTCTAGTAAGCTTAATTAGTCTAGGTTACATCCCAGGAAGCAAAGTATTCTGATCAAGATTTGTTATAAAAGCTGGCACAGCAGGCATTCGTTCGGCACTGGCATTAAGCATGTGGGCCAAACATGGCCCAAGTTTGGCAGAGATGGCAGCACATAGGACTTGGGATCAAATGTAGTATTTGACCCAGATGTTAAAAATGTATATGCTTGGCCTATCGTGACCCACTTTTAAAATACATAATTAAATATTTTTAAAGTAAAAATTCTACCAATCAAATTTTGCTATGTGGGATTGGTACACCAGTAGGTGGCAAGAAACTACTCAAACCATTTCTTCCTTAAGAAAATTGACCATGGTTTTATAATAGTAAGTGTGAAGTAACTTCCACGATGGGGATTTCGTTCAGAAAGCCAATCATCTGAAACAGTATGTAAACAGGCAAATGAAATGCCAATGAGTTGGCAGCTTCAGTTTGCGCAGCTGATGCTCATTGCAATCAATTTGGCAATATAAGCACAGCGTGTGCAAAACTGAGCATCCTTTTTTAGCTGAAGAAACTTTCACCTCAACAGCTAAGGGGCAATCTTTATGGCGAAGGAACATAGAGGAAGGAGGATTACTTTAGTTACTGGAGCATTCCCCTTCGTGAGGGGAACTTCAATGTTATGTGGAAAAACTTCCACTATGGGGAAATGTATGGCAAACGCCATAATGATTGAACCTTACATTCGCATCCAATGAGAGGTTATGCCAAGCAAACGAGAGCGTGAGCGTACCTGCAACACCAGAGGCGCAGTCTTCCAACCTGTTCCCTGGCGCTTACTTATCCCACTTCAACAGAAGATTTACGGATTTATATATTTTTTTGGGAGTCGCGAATGCGTCTACATAATTTCTAGGAATTTAAATATGACTGTACGTTGGGAAGCGCAATAGGGAGGATTATGTGGAGGCCACCTGCTACTCATGTGGGGAAACCTGGTGGCAGAAGAGCATCTTATATTTATAGGCATATAAATATAAGATGGTTAGCAGTGAGGGAAGACACAGTCCGCCTGTGAGGGGGGACTGCACCGTGGCTATATAAGCATTTGGGATCGCACACCAGTGGGCAGACCTACAATGTAACATGCCAGCGCCTGACTCCTCTGCTGAGTCAGATGCTGGGGGCGACGGAGAAATCTCTGCAGGGTTTGTCAAGCGGGGAACTTTACTGACAGCGTGAAATAAGCGCATGTATCTTATGTATCTTATGTATGTTAGGGAGAATGCCACAGCATTGAGCCAGGGTGAGCCACAGCTTTTTATATAAAAACTGTATATAGTTATGAAGGGGCTGGGTCTGCCTCCTCTGGGGGCAGCACTTGCAGGCTCACTACCTAGTCCTTAAACGGTGTAGTAGGAACCTTAACCACGTATCTATGCCGGGGTCTCAGAACAACGTTAGAGTAGGCCGGCCCGAATTCCAGGCACTATTCACTGACCGAAAAGGCCTCCAGTCCCCCGACACACTTAATCGATGCCAATGCAACCAGCAGAGCTCTCTTTAGGTACAGAAATCTTAAAGATACTGAGTCAAGTGGTTTAAATGGATCTCGGCGCATGATCGTGAGAACAAGGGCAAGAGCCTAAGAGGGCATAAGAGGGGGCGGGGTGGATTAATTTACCTAGCACCTCTGAGGGACCAGATAATGAGGTTATGCCTTCCCATGGTGCTGCCAGCCACTGCGTCATGGTAAGCAGAGATGGAAGCCATATAAACTTTGAGTGTGGAGGGTGACAGCCTGCACTGCAGCTTCTACTTGAAGGAAAGAAAGCACAACGCTGATCTGGCAAGTTCCGGGGTCTTCTCTGTGAGAGACGCACCCCTCAGTAAATAGACTCCACTTCAGGGCGTAGGCGCGCCTCGTCAAGGGGGTCGTAGCCTGAGTGATGGTATTGACCACCGCAGTTGTTAGGTTACCTAAATCTTCCTCGTGTCTAACAACCACACGTGGAGGTTCCAAAGATCTTGGCGAGGGTGCCAAATGGTGGCCTGTCTCTGAGAGAGTAGGTCCTCTTTCAAAGATCTGCCAGGGGAGGGCCCGGATATCCAGATATCCAGGTCAGGTTGGGCCAGAGAGGCCCAACTAGCAAGACCTGCTCCTCCTCCCTGACCTTGCACAGTAACTGCGTGAGCAGGCTCAATGAGGGAAACGCATATTTGCGCATGCCCCGAGGCCAGCTGTGGGCCAGTGCATCCGTGCCGAGAGAGCCCTTGGTCAGAGAAAAAAAAACACTGGCAATAAGCGTTTTTAGGGGAAGCAAACAGATCGATCTTGGCTTCCTCAAATCACATCCATATCAGCTGAACAGACACGGGTGGAGTCTCCTAAAAGCTGCCATGAGAGCTCGTTGACTGCACAGTTGAGCTCACCTGGAATGTTAATAGCTCTCATCGTTTTCTGCCACGTATGACTCAAGAGGAGCAGACGGTGAGTATGCCGTGACATACGGCAGAGAGCAAGGAACACTACCAACACTAGGCAATACATATGCATATGCAACTGGGTTCCTTTCCATAGGCCTGCAGCTGCATGCCTGCAACACATGGCCCCCCAGCCCGTGCTGGAAGCATCTGTTGAAACGACAATATGTCAATATGTCCCTTAGGCACTTTAGCCTGTAGGAACCAGGGGTTGTTCCAGGGGCTGAGGGTGCGGCGACACAGCGCAGTGACAGTCACCCGATGTGTGCTCGCATGCCATGCGCATCTGGGGACTCGATCGTGAAGCCAGTGCTTAAGTGGTCTCATATGGAGTAATCCGAGTGGCGTGACATATGCCCCAGGAGACTGTAAAAGATTTCAGTTGGACCACTTTTTTGCTGTCAAATTATCTCAGACAGATCAGCATTAGCTGAGCACCCTCTCTGGAGAGGCACTCTGTCATGGTGACCGAGTCCAGCTCCAGCCCAAGTTTGCTCTTTTCTCTGTTGACCTGAAACCCCAATAGGTCGAGGTGTGAGAGCAACTTGTCCCTGTGCATAATCAATTGCTACTGCGAGTTAGCTGAAATCAGCAGGTTGTCAAGATATTGGAGTATGCGGATGCCGAAGGGGCACTAGGGCACCCTCCACGAGCTTGGTAAAGACCCACGAAGACAGAGAGACCCCAAAGGGGAAGACTGTACTGCCAGGCTCGACCTTCAAACGCAGACCACATAAACTGACGGTGGGGTGAAAAAATGGAGACATGAAGTACGCGTCCTTCAGGTCTATTGCTGCAGACCAAGCCCAAGGACGAACGCACCACAGGATGCGCTTCTGCATAAGCCTTTTGAATGGCAGCTTGTGAAGACAGCAGTTCAAAACGCACAGATATAGGATTGGCCGTAGCCCATTGCTCTTTTGGGTACGATGAAGTAAGGCTGTAAAACCCGATCTCAATCTTGGCTGGAGGGTTTGGTTAGATTGCATTCTTTGCTAGGAGAACCGCAATCTTCTCTCTCAAGAAAGGGGCAATCACAGGGCTGACCCTGGTGAGATACACACCTGTGAACTTGGGAGGCCGTTTTGTAAATTGAATTGTGTATCCGAGTCTGATCGTGCGTATCAGCCACCGCAAAGGGCTAGCCTGCACAAACAAGGCAAGCAGAGTCCTCGCTAATGGCTGCATCGCTACAATCTCTGACGTACCAGTAGTGGGGTAGCATGAAGTGGGAGTGCTGATCCGGGAAGCGCTGGGGTCCCGTGGAAGAGCTGGAGGCGAGAGATTCACTATCACCTAGCACCCAGACTCCGGAGGGGAGGCCTGGAGGTGTGGGAGAAAGGAGACTGTCCTCCCAGAGCTCGTGAGCCACTGGCGAAGTGCACCGATCCTGCGAGCTGGAAGGCATCGCATCCCAGACTGGCAGTATTCAGGCTGTCCGGGAAAGTAAAAATGCTCTCTCTCTCTGAGGTTTGGTGGCGTTTTTTAAGTGCCGGTGGATGAAAAGCCTGTCCCCCACCAGGGAGAGAGCTCAGTAGCTCTTTGTGGCCCGTTTTACCATACTTTACTGTGCCCTGGGGTGCTGGTTGCCTGCGAGGTGCTCGGCACTGGTGCATGACCAGAGGCGCTGGCGGGGCGGAGCAGCTCTCATAAACTCAGCCCATTGTATACGACTGCACCGCTGTGAATTCCTGGGTATCCACTGACAGTGTCGCCGAACAGGCCAGTTCGGGGTTATGAGGGAGTCAAGAAAGTGAACCTTGTTGACCTTGAGGTGGCACTCGTGAACCACTATTGTGGCCATCGTGAGGTGCCTGGAGCTCAGTCGGGTGCAGGGAGGGGCTTGTAACAAGCCTGGGTCAGAACCACCCTCGTGCACCTGGGCCAGCATGCAAGCATAAACCCTAGCGTGCAGGGTGGAAGCAGCCTGGCCCGCGGCTGTGTGGGCTCTGGCTCCGAGAGAGGCAGTAAACTGACACGCCCTGGACGGGTTTGACTTCAGCAGAAAGAGGCACCAAGCGGGCCCACAATGGCACTCTCAATCTGGGGAATCGACTTGTATACCTGGCTGCTCTACCATTAAAGGTGGTGAAGGCGGAGGTGCACGCAGATCAGGCAGAGAAAGGTGCCCTCCAAGACTACGTGAGCCCACTGTGCACTTCCTGGAAGAAAGGGATGGGAGGCTAGAAGGTCTTGCCTTTTTAGTCCTCCACATACACTCATCTAGTCAGTCTGGCTGCGGGGCTGGGGGATAAACCATCTCCAGGCCCGCAGCCGAAGCAGCAGAAATCTTG